GATGATTTTTGATACATATATACGTATAAATATAAACAATATAATATAAATATATATATATATATATATATATATATATATACATATATATACATATATATATACATATATATATATATATATATATATATATATATATATATATATATATATATATATATATATATATATATATATATATATGTATATATATATATATATATATATATTATATAGTGGAGATATATATATATATATTATATAGTCTACGTCAGATGTCATTCTACAGTAATTTTTACGTTTTTGTAACTGTTTGTTTACGTTTTTTGTTTGTATTAACGGCTGATGATTGCCTTCGGGCATGAAACTTTAAGTTCCGCTAATCAGTTGTTTTTATTCATCTAAATATAATTATATATAGCTCTATTATTCAGTAATATTGAGCACTGTAACACGTACAAGAGACTTTGTATTATTACATCAAAATACTTAACCTCGAATATATTCTATATATCGAAATCTATACAAATATATATATATATATATATATATATATATATATATATATATATATATATATATATATATATATATATATATATATATATATATATATATATATATATATATATATATATATTGGGGAGAGTCGGGTAGCCCCACTTAAGGAAAATATAGATTGTGCATTTGTGTTAACAGAAAAAAAAGTATCAAAAGACTTTTTTAAAAAGTTCAAACATTCATCTATCGAATTAGAAACAAAAAAATAATTATTTTGTATCTTAATAATATACAAAACATAAAATGAAAAATGTTAGAAAAAAGACATGTTTCAAAATTGGAAGGTAGGCCCGGACACATAGTTTAACCATGATTTTACCTCTTTTTTGACCAGTGTGACACAAATATAATATATAATAACTTAACATTGAACTGTTCTTGACTTATTTTTAAAAAAATTGCTTTTAAAAATTTTATCTGATATATAAGGAATGAGAATGAAAATGTCATCATTTAAAAATATAAACATAAGCTTTTTTATAATCAAAATAAACACATAAAAACACTTTTTTCAAATCTAATGTTTTTTTATTGGAATTAAATGATATACTTTTATTGGTTTGTGTATTATATTAAGTGTATTAATATTTATATAAAAAAGTTGTTTATTATTAATATGTAAACGAATTAAGTTGTCCGGAGCCACACGCCAAACATGTGTCCGATACCACCCGATCATACCTCATTCACAAATACTAGTTTTAAAACCAGTAAATTAAACTTTTTAACGAATTTTTTTTTAAATAGCTATTGTAAATAAAAATATATCTTTAATCATTAAAAAGTTATTAGTTTACATAAAAATTAGGTATATCAATATGTGAATCAAATATGATGATACATCGCTCTTCTGGTGGTGGGAAACAAAATCTTGCCCTCCCAGTCATTCGCTTCAGCATTTTATGATAGATATTTTGCATATGCCAAATTTTCACTCGAATAATGTTATTCTAATATTAAAAGTCACATAGCTTCTTAAGTTTAAGCTGTACATCAAGTGTCCGGAGTTACCCGCTGTCCGGGGCTGCCCGACTTATATATGTATATATATATATATATATATATATATATATATATATATATATATATATATATATATATATATATATATATATATATATATATATATATATATACATATATAAATATATATATATATATATATACATATATATATATGTATATATATATATATATATACATATATATATACATATATATATATATATATATATATATATATATATATATATATATATATATATATATATATATATATATATATATATATATATATATATATATATGTATATATATATATATATACATATATATATATATATATATATATATATATATATATATATATATATATATATATATATATATATATATATATATATATATATATATATATATATATATATGTATATATATATATATATATATATACATATATATATATATATATATATATATATATATTTATATATGTATATATATATATATATATATATATATATATATATATATATATATATATATATATATATATATATATATATATATATATATATATATACATTTATTCATTTATTTTAACTTTATTTTATGATATATCTATCTTGCTGTTTTTGTCTGTCTGTTTTAATTTCGTAAAAAAAAAAAAAAATGAATTTAAGTCTTGAAAATGTTTTGAATCTTGTTAAAGTTTAAATCTCTTTTAAATTATATTTAAATATGTATATATAAATATATATCGCGTATTGTATTCAAAATATATACGTATATATACCGAACAGTAAACTTTTATATTTATGATATACAGTACGATATTTTTTTATTTGAGTTATATTACGGTACATATAAGTACAATTTGTAATTTTTTTGTTCAAAAAAATTTTTTTTTTTTTTTTTCAAACTTTATAACTTTTTTTTCAAACTTTTTATTGTTAATTTTTTTTTATTTCCTTTTAAAATTTTTAGATTCCCTTTTTTGTATAATATTACCACTTGTAAAACTATATATTTCTCTATTTCATGAAGGGGCTTGATGATAAGACATTTTGTCTTCTACTTGACCCAGTCAGATTGTATTTATATATATATTTATTAGACCTTAAGAAAAAGTTGTGAAATGTGTGCAAATTGACGAAATAAAACTAATTTAGACTAGGAAATAAATTCAACAGTAAATGCTAGTATAATTGGATAGACAAAAAATATGATTGAGACTTTATTCTTATTTTTTTTAATACTTTACAGGATTTATTATTGTATAGCAACTTGATGCAGATTGGCTGTCATTATAAAATTTTCAATTGCTAAACTGTAGGTATAACTATTAGGGTGGAGCGATTTTCATACAATAAAAAAAAAATTAAAAAAGAAACATTTCTGAGACGCAAATGGTATTCTATTAATTATAAAATATTTTAGATTTAATCCTATAAATAATGATCGACTCCTAATATTAGTGAAAACCTTTTTCGAAAAAAAAATTTCAATCTGGGACTCAAAAGAAAAGAATTATTTGCTGATTTTTAAAATAATAATCGTTTATATTTAAAATTAAATATATAAATTTTTTTTTGTTAAAACCCCAGTTTTCAACACAATTTGCCCACATTTACAGGCAAATCAAATTAAAAACTTTTTTCAAATCGCTCAACCTTTATATCTATAGTTGTTATTCAAGGACACAAGGTATAACTTTAATCATAACTGATTAAAGTTATACAGAATCAATTGGTTAATTTAATTAGTAATATTTCTATAGATTATTTCAGGAAAAATTAAAAAATATATATTTACAGGATACTTATATGATAGACAAGCTAGCGGCTCTGGGTACAATAACATGAACACTCATTTTACCTAAGATCAAGTTTAAGTGTTAGTTCAAGTATCGTTGATTATCTTAATATAAATAATATAATAACACCTAAATTAACACAGCTTTTTATCCAAAAGATCTACGTGCACAAATCTTCTAGAGTCAACTAATGACTGGAATAAAGCTTTAGACAGCAATTTAATTACTGACGTGGTGTACATTGATTTTCAAAAAGCATTTGACTCTGTACCTCATCCAAAACTTTTGAAGAAACTTGCAATGCACGACATAATAGCTAATCTGCTTCATTCGATATCAGCATTTCTTTCTAACAGATATCAAAGGGTTCTGGTTGGAAATTCACTAACTAATCCAACCAGCATCCTAAATAGAGTTCCACAGGGTAGCGTTGTGGGTCCAATGTTATTAATGATCTACCCTCTATAGTAAAAGATCTTAATTGCTCTCTAATGTTATATGCTGACGATATCAAGCTATATAGTTCATTTAAGGATGCCGATTACAGTCATAATCTTGCTATAGCCATTTATAAAGTTTATCTCTGGTCAAAAAATGGCAGTTAAAAGTAGTCAATAATAAGTGCTTTACTCATAGAATAGCACCTACTTCATTTTGTAAAGATATAAATTACAACTATCAATTAGGTGATCATAATTCAATTTGGTCTACAAACCCAAAAGATCTTAGTTTGACCATGGGTTCTTACTTAAATTACAATATTCATATTTAAAATATCGTCCGCGCATCAAACATTCGAAGATATTTAATCCTTAAGTGTTTTAAAAATCATGATCCACGTGTTATCGTTAAAGCCTGCACTACTTATATAAGACCGATCTTAGAATTTTGCTCTCTGATTTGGTAGCCAAATCGCACTGAAATGAACAATACAGTGGAAAGAGTACAAAGACGTTTTACCAAGAGAATTTCTAACCTAAATAACGTTTCATATTCAAATAGACTCAGAATTCTTGGTTTGGAACTACTAGAAATTCGTCGCCTTAAGCAAGACATGATTACATGTTACAAAATTCTGAACAATTTAGTTTGCCTAAATAAATCAAGTTTCTTTTTATTTGGCAACTATATTTACACTCGACGACATATTTCAAATTACGCAAACTAAAATGTAAACTCGATGTCCGTAAATAATCTTTCTTACTCAGGGTTGTTAATATTTGGAATAACTTGCCGTCTGACGTCGTGAACGTCAAAAATATAAAGAGCTTCAAAATTAAAATTAACTCTATCGACTTTGAAAAATACTGTTCCGGCTAACTGGTTTTTGTTTTGTAACTATGATCTTATATATAATTGTAATATATATTTTAAATTATCATATGTATTATGTGATTGAAGCGCACGTTGTCAGAGTACTTCATATTTTATGGACCTGCGTGTCCTTTAGAACATGTATCACTGTTCTAATAAATTTTAATCTAATCTAACCTAATCTAAGTTAAGTACAATTGTTTTGGTACGACTCATTGTATCTAAAAATAAACTTTTTATCTTAATTAAAAAAAAAACTACAAAATTAAATCACAAATAAATATATTTACAAAAATATTTATCACAAAGAAGCAAATACACGAGTCTAAATAACAACAACAAAAAAAAGCTTTTTTAAGGATTTTTTTAAATTTTTTGCTAAATTTATTATCAAAAAACACATACATATTTATAAAACGATACGGTTTAAAGTTTCAGTTATAAAGAGACGATATTTTAGTTATTAGCGGCAGCGTTACAAGAAATTACTAACGCTGTTATACAAGCTATTGTTCCAAACCATGCGGAAATGACCGACCAACCGTGGTTATTATTTTTCCATAAATGGGGTACAAATATCTCGGCATATAACATAGCACTAATACCGCATGCACCTAAAAGTATAAATTCAAAATTTAATTAACTGAATTTTGGTTTTTTATTTTTTAAATAGTATAGAACTAACCAGCCATGAAAACAAGACATATAAGGACAAAACTGCCTTTAGTCCACGTTGAGTTCCTTTCTTTAAAAAAGTATAAAACCAAAATGCATACCAGAGATAATATTGAAAAAATAATCGCAAAAGTTATAAGAATCAAGATATTGTCTAAAATTTAGATGAAAAATAAATTTTAAAGTTTAAAGTGTGATAAAATCATTAAATAGTTTAACTCTTTACAAATTAAAGCTAAAATTAAATAGTTTAACTCTTTACAAATTAAAGCTACCGAGATCAAACGACTTGAATTGAAATAAATTTTTTCTTTGTTCTTTTCTTCCTTTTACGTTAAAACTCAGGAGACCAATCTCAGTGTCATTAAGAGAAGATTTCCACCATGAGTTACCACAAACTGCGGCTAAAAAGCAAGATATACCAACCATTAAGGTAATGGCTAATGCCCATAAAGTAACTTTTAATGATTTTGCAAGCATGTCAAGTGTTGTTTTATGCTATATATATATATATATATATATATATATATATATATATATATATATGTATATATATATATACATATATATATATAGTATATAAACAATATGATTTCTTCTCCGTTTTTTTATCTTCTATTGATTTTTTCTTTTTATCTGTATTTTATTTAATCGCGACTTTTAACTTTTTAGTTTTATCTTTAACTTTTATTTGTTTTACCTGGCTACAATTTTTTTAAATAGAAAAATGTATCTAGATTTTAAATATGGAACTCAAAAATTTAAATGGTGATAAATAAAAATTGTTTAATGATTTATTTTTTAGATTTAATCTTGATCAAAAAAAAATAAGAACAATTTATAATGTTGATTTTCAATTAATAACATATTAACATTTTATAAGCTTTTTAAATGACTTTTTTTCTTTTTATCTTTTACATTAGCCGACAATAAAACCACCTGGAATAAAGTATATCAAAAATATTGTTAATAAACAATATTTTATAATGTAAGTTTATAAACAATCTGAAACATTATCCTAAAGGTTTAAAATTGTTTAAAGTAGATAAAAATATTATGGTTTTATAATATAATATGGTAAAATAATTTCTACTATAATACTTTAATGTTATATAATATTTAATAATAGTATTATTAATTTAAGTTTTAAATTATTTTAAATAAAATAATTAATCTGAATTAATGTAATGTGAAAAAGTAAACCAAAACCCAAAACTTAAAGATACAAGTATCAAACATGTTTAATTTTTTTTATATATAGTGATCGAATAACTTCCTTAATTATTTGATTGCAGGTTGCTGCGTTATTACACCTTTCTTAATAAGCTATAATACCTGTAAAAACTTGATTCTATTATAAACTTTATCTAAAAATGTTATGTATCATTTTTTTTGGATTCACAATATTTCAGATAAAGATCATTTTTGAAATTTTTTATTACAATGTATTTCAACACAAGAGAATAAATTATTTCAAATTGAATCACATCCAGTTCTACGAAATATTGAAAGAGAGCACTTAGTTCTAAGTTACAAAGTTTTGTTAGATCAGAAAAGTTTTATAAATGAGGAAGTAGTTGTACGAGATTAGAGCAAATTTTGATTCAATTAATAGATTGTTTTCCAATGTGGTTGGCTAACATGTTTTAATGGCAAATCAGTACCAGAAATGTATAACAAATTTTACATGAATGCAGCGTATAAACTATATATTCCAATTAAAAAATTAGATATTATTAAAAAAAGGGAATATTTTGGATAAACAATAAACTTAAAAAATTTATAAAATTAAAGACTATTAAATTTGGCAACTGCTCCTCAGGGTGGAAAGTTTTTCCTCGAATACAAAAAAATTTGCAAGATAATCAAAAACGAATCCAGAAAAGCTAGACAAAATTATGAAAAAAAAAGTTTTGATATAATCTCATTCAAAGATATTCTTAACAGATTAGAACGTTTAAATACAGAGAAGTCATGTGGGTCAGATCTTATTAAACCTTTAATTTTAAAAAATTATGCATATGGAATAGCTCTATCGCTTGCACATATATTTACAGCTTCCATTGTACTTAGTGAACTACCTGTTCAGAGGAAATCAGCAAATATTAGTCCTCAATTTAAAAAAGGAAGTAAACTGTTGTCGTGGAATTTTCGTCCAACTTCACTCACTTTTTCACCTTGTAAAATTCTAAAAGGGGTTGTGCAAGATTTAATTATGAATTTTCTAAATGTAAATAATCTTCTTTCGAAAAATCAACACGGCTTAGTATAAAATATAATTTTGAGAAATGCTTGATAATGCACTTTGGTAAAAATAAAAAGAACTTATTTTATCCAAAATACACCTTGAAGTACCACTGACGCTAAAAAAGATCTTGTAGTATTTACCTCTAACTTGAAATGGAAAAATCAAATAACTCTATGTGCAAGTAAAGAAAATTAAGTTTTGGGCATGTATTACATGGGCATTTATTTTAAGATATAAATAAATGGAAACGTTATTATAGATTGTTTTGAACAGCTAAAAGTTGTTCTTTTTAAAGTTTTTAAAGCTTCTATCCATCAAGGTGTTTTCCCCGAACTGTTAAAAATTGCCAAAATTATTCCTATTTTTAAAGAAGGGGACAAATCAATTATAAGTAACTATCGCCCTATTTCTGTTCTTTCCACCTTTTCAAAAATTTTAGAAAGAATTATATATAACAGAGTATACAAATATTTTCATGTTAATAAATTACTTAACATTAATCAATTCGGTTTTAAAAAGGATAGCTCAACTGAACATGCAATTATCCAATTTGTACGGGAAATCTCAAAATCATTTGAAAAATCACAATATACTCTAGGACTTTTTATTGATCTATCAAAAGCTTTTGATAGGGTTAACCACCAAATTCTAATCCATAAACTTAAACACTATGGAATAAAAAATAAAGTTTTAAAATGGTTTGAAAGCTATTTGTCAAATCGTAAACAATTTGTTCCGAGTAATGACGGTTATCACACCAATTGTCTTTCTATAACATGTGGAGTCCCACAAGGCTCAATTCGTGGTCCACTCCTTTTCCTAATTTATATTAATGATTTAAATAAAGCCTCTAAACTAACAAGTATTATGTTTGCAGATGATACTAACTTATTTCTTTCTAACAGTGATATCTTTGAACTTTTTAAAACAATGAACAAAGAGCTTATACATGTATCGAGTTGGTTTAAATGTAATAAGTTAACTCTAAATTCTAATAAAACAAAGTGGACCTTATTCCATTCGCTTTCCAAAAAACGATATTTGCCATTAAACTTACCTAAAATTTTTATTGATCAAAATGAAATAAAAAGGGATTCCGTAACAAAATTTTTAGGTGTTTACCTTGATGAAAACATCACTTGGAATCATCATATTGACTATATAAGCACTAAAATTTCAAAAAACATAGGAGTTTTATATAAAGCACGAATCTACCTCAATAAGAAAATTTTAATCAAACTTTATTATTCATTTATACACAGTTATTTAAATTATGCTAATATCGCCTGGGGTAGTACAGAAAAAAGTAAGTTGCAACGTCTTTATCGCCGTCAGAAACATGCCATCCGTTTAATCTGCTTTGCAAATCGCTTTTCTCACGCAAAACATTATTTTATTGAAATGAGAATTTTAAATATATACGAGCTAAATATATATAATGTTTTATGCTTTGTATACATGTGGAAAAATGACTTGTCTCAATCTGTCTTCAAAGATATTTTTACTCCGAAACCCATCAACAAATACAATTTGAGAAATACTGATTTTTTAAATGAACCTTTCTGTCAAACGAACTTTAATCAATTTTGTATTGTCTATCGGGCACCACACCTTTGGAATAAAATTGTTTTGCCCAATTTTGATTTCGAACTACCCATTACTTTTCGTTTTTTTAAAAGTAAATTAAAAACCCTAATTTTTTCATTAAAAGACGTATTATGTTATTATTAATAATATAAAATAATAACTTTGCCTTTTCTAATTTATAATTGTAAAAATTTTATTCTTACTTATTTTGTTGATTTTATATTCTTTACTTCACGTATACGTTTATATAAAATATTGGTGAGTAGATCCGCGTGATCTCTCTTTGGATTATAAAATATATATTTGTATTATATATATATGAAATTTGTAAAAATTTGATACTGTTAATGCTTGTTTGAACTTATTTAAGGTTCTGACGACAAGATCCTTTGATCTTCTTTCAGATACCTTATTTTAAATTTGTGAAAGTTTATTATTATTATCATTATTTTTATTTTATTTTTTTTTGGCAATATATAGTTGTAATACGACCAACAAATGTAAAATAAAAAAAAAAAAAAAAAGTTTAAATAGTGAATTACTAAAAATTAAATACACAACTTTTGTAAGACCGCTATTTGAATTCGCTGTATCTGTGTGGTCTCAATGTCTTAAAAATGAAACTAATCTCTTAGAAAAGGTACAGCATTGTGCTACAAGAATAATATTGTCACTAAAAAAACTATGTTATGAGAAAATGTGTATAACTACTTTAGTTGTAAGACGGATTCGGGGTGACTTGATTCAAATGTATAAGTTATTCAATGGAATTGAAAAAGTAAATTTGAAATGAAATTTTGCCACTAAGTTATGAATCAGCAAGAAGTCATCAAATAAAATATATCGCGAAATATCCAGTTTTTCGCCTCGGCATTATTTTTTAACAAACAGAGCATCTTTTTACTGGAATCGACTGTTAATGCTATTTTTGTGAATTCTTTTAAAGCTAAACTTGACATATGGATTTTAAATAATGTAACTATGCTGAATAATGATATAGCTGTCTAAGTGTACTTGGTAGACTCACCGAATTATCGGTCACAGCTAAAATATATTTCTATTACTATTTCTATTTCTAATATTATATTTAGAAAATTATAAAATAAAAACTGTGACACTCTTAAGTTTATACTCTTTCTCAACTTTCTTACCATCTTTACTTGTCGTTAAAGTCTACTTGTTGTTAAAGTGTCATTGATATGCGATCCCTGAAGACAAAAGAATATCAGGTTTTCCAATTAAGGGGAAAATTTTCCAACCTCAGTAAATACTTTCAAAATAAGTAAACTTTTTTCTAATGGATTAATTACTATTGGGAACAGCATAAAAAAAAAGAATTTTGTTATTTGATTCAATTGTTGATTTAATCTTTTAAGATTAATTTTTTAATGTAAAACAATTTTTTTTTTAATTTAAATAACGAAAAAATATTTTGTGTTCGCTTGTTAAATAAAAAGAGTAAGTGAAATAAAATATTTTGTGTTCGCTTGTTAAATAATAAAGAGTGAAATAAAATACTTATAGTTATTATCAAATATTTTCTAAAGCGTTGATATTTATTAGTAGTAATACTGGTTTACGTTTAAAAAAATATTTTGCTAAGGTATTGAACATTTTTGGCTATTTTAATGTAATTCAATTATATTGTCGTTTATATGTATTCACAATAAATATTTACAATATTTACAATACATATAACCAAACAAAAGAAATAAAAAAAAAAAAAGGTTTTCTCAACACTGAACTTTTTTTTAGTGTAATTATAAAATACGTAAAAATAATTTTTTTACTAAATAGAATTAAACAACTAAAATGTTTAAAACTTTATATATGCTTGCATATATTAGGAGAAATAATGTATTCACTTCTGCAAGCCGCAATTATACTTTTTATTTTGTAATAAATAGTAAAAGTTTTTACTTTGTAACTAATATGAGTGCTCTTTTGTACCACAGTACAACACAGCACACCATAGTATACTAGAGTAAAATATTCAAGCAAATCAGGGACGGGTTTTGTCACTCGCCAAAGATAGGGCAAAAAGGTCTATTAGTTAATTTTCAAAAGTTTTAGGCAATTATCACTATAAGTTAATTTTCTAAAGTTTTTTACAAAATTTAATTCGTCAGTTTAATAGTCCGATTCTGCATAATAGTCAATTTACATAAGAATATTTTTGAAAAAAAGTCCCAAGGGGAAGGGGGAAGGGCTACTAACCCCATAACCCCCCCATCCTCTTCCCTAAAACCCGCCACTGAAACAAAAAAAAATTGAAAATAATTATTTCTATTAGTTAATGACACAACTTACAACTGTAGACTTTAATACAATAAGTAAAATAAGTGAAGTTTTAACAGATAATGTAAATTTTAAAATATGATAAATAAACTTTGTTAATGTTACACATAACAATGTTTTTTCAATGCGACGATCCGGCGAATCTTCATCCATAATCGACTCATATTCAAGATTATACTTTGCCAATAATATGTCAAATATATCTTAAAAATACTAATTTCGCCATAAATTAATAAATTTTACGCCATCAATGTATTACAGAGTAAGAAAAAATATATTTTGGAAATGGCTGTCAAATTCAGTGAAAGCCATTGACAGAATCAATACTTCATATTTGCAAATCGCTTTATCTGAAGAAAGTTAAATCTCTCTTAGGAGCGGAATGGTTATTCTAAATTATATTTAAACGACTATTTATCGCGTTGTAAAAATTATCCTATCATATAAACAACCCACCTAGCACACAAACGGAATTAAATTTTATTTATGTTTTTGCACAGCTTATATATTTTATATTATTTAATTGAGTCATATATTGATAAGCAATAAGCTGGATCTTGTTTTGAGTACTTTTTTTGAAACTGTTGTCCACTTTTTTTAAAAAATCTTTTTCATCTGAGGTTATTTTTTAGCTTTTCAATAAGATTACTTTTAGAATCAACCAATATCCTTCAATAAATCACTTCTCAGAACAATTTAGAAGAATTGTTTCCTCATGTGGGCTTCTTAATAAATGGTATAAAGTATTTGCTTTATAAGCATTGTTCTATTTACAAATCTTAACTCAGTTATATCATTTTTGTTACAAGTCCAACGTCGCCAATAACAAAAAACTAATGATTGAACAACTTTGTATTCTATGTTGGCAAAGTGTAATATTTTACGTTAATTCAACGTAATATTTAACTATTCGGAATAAAAGTTTGTTAATATACTTTTTATTTTCTATATATATATATATATATATATATATATATATATATATATATATATATATATATATATATATATATATATATATATATATAAAGTAGGAATAGTTATAGGTAAAGTTGTTCAAAAACAACTATATTTAAATAAGTTGTAATGCTTGTTTCAAAACATGATCTACTTTATTTTTTAGTATATAACCAAATATGCTTGCAACTTCATTAAAAGTCTCTTTGTGGGGTATTGGAGTAAGTCTAATTCTAGGATTAACTTGCTTAACAATCGGAGCTTGTGGTAATTCTTGGTGGAAATCTTCTATTTATGACATGGAGCAAAGCCTCATAAGCTTCAGAATAAGAGAATTGAATGTTCAAAGAAGAAACTTGTTTCATTTCAAGTTATATAATTTAGGTAATAGATTTTATTTCTAAAAATAAATAAATTGTCAGTGTGTTTATGTATGTTTATACATAAACATAATAAAAGTGGGTTAACTATAATAACTATATCAATTGAAGTAATGAAATCGAGTTTACTATATAATTTGACAATATTGTAAAGTAAATATCATAAGAAGTATCAATATATATATATATATATATATATATATATATATATATATATATATATATATATCATATAGTATCAAAGTAATTATCTAGGTCCACCTACTTACTATTTACACCTAGTTACACCATTTAGTTACATAGTTACATACTTTGTACAACTACTTATTATTTACACCTATTTACAACTACTTACTACTTACACTAAGGGGCAATTCTACGGGGAGAGACAAGGGGGGAAAACATTGAAGGAATCACAGGTTTTAAAGATTTTGTAAAGTTTTTTTACAAAAAGAAAGTAATTTATCATTGCAATTCCCTAAGGGGTTAATTATTTGAACATTGATAGAATTCGGCAAACGTTAATAGAATTTTATATCAAAAGAAAGTTTCATTCAAAAAGAAAGTTATTTTTCATCCCAATACCCGAAGGAGATCAACGTTCAAAAAATTTATATTGTTATATAAATTTTTTGAACGTTGATAATTAAGTTTTAATCAAGCGAAAGTTGGTTTTCAAAAAGAAAGTTGTTTTACATCGCAACTTCGAAAAGAGTTTTACAGTAAAATAATTTCTTAGAGTTTGGTGCATCAATTTTTTTGAGTCTGTTTTGCTATCAATTGTTCTTTGTTCTTAGATCTAAAAAATAAGCTCATAATTGATGGAAGTTTTTAGTGTTTTGACCATGAAGTTAACTGACCATGAATTGGCCATGAAGCACATTTATGACTGAAAAAACGAAAAATAATTGGCAAGGAAACATAAAACTAGTCTAAAATAAGACTCAGCGCTGAAACAATGTCTTAAAAAAAATCCTTTTAATTTTGCGGCTTCTTGCATTTATTTATTTGAATTTAACCATGCCATAAATTTAGCATTTTATGGCATGGTGGTTTCAATCAAACGATGGAAATTTTTTAGGACTGGTTGAGTTGCTAGAAAAGTACGATTCATATCCAGAAGATCATTTACGGCTTAAAAAAAAGTAATTCATAATCATTTCTTAGGCAAAACAATTCAAAACAAGATAAACAATCTGATTGGTGATGCTGCCTTACAAACAAATTATATATAATGTTCAAAATTCGAAATAGTGTCTCATCATTTTGAACTGCACACCTGGTGCTGGTCAATGATTATGAAACCATCGATGAATCATTGACAGATCCAAAAAAAATATATTAATTTGAATTTTTAAGTTTTTTGGTAGATCAAGCATTTATGTTGTTAACTAGATGTTTCGAGTAAATGTAACGTCACTTTGGTCTCTTTGGATCTCTCCACAACTTGAAAAAATATTCAGAGTTACATCAAAATAATTTGATTAAATGTTGTGAGGATTTAAATATTAAGCTCTACTGATTACACCTACTATTTATACTTATTTACTACTTGCCCTGCTACTTACTACTTACCGAGGGGAGGAGGGGGCTATACACCTCTACTCTTCTCCCCTCGGGACAGCTCTGCTACTTACTAATTACACCTATTTATAAAAACAAAGTTAATAAAATAAGAAAAATTGAACAGATTTAAAGTAGTAAGTTTTGACCTTCATAATGACAATAAAATGTGTTTTAGATTTTTAATGTTGAAAGTTGTGTAAAACAATATTACGACGTTAAAGCTAAGTTGTTGTGTATAAAAAAAAATTTATACTAACAAATCAACCTCGCAATTCTTTTTTGGTTGTTATATACAGCTTTTTGAAATAACAACTTAAAATAAAACGTGTTTTATTTTCAACATGAAAGGAATATTAAGTTTAGATTTAATCCAGTGGGCATTTATTTTTTAAAATTACGTTCTAAATGTATTTTAAATGCCTTTAAAACATTCTTACGTAAAGAACGTTTAAAAGACGTTTAAAAGATGTTTAAAAGATATTTAGAACGTAACTTTGAAAAACAAATGCCCGTAAGGAAAAATGCATTAAAAAAAATTAATTTTTTCCACGCAAATTTATGAAAAATTACCTTATCCTTTGGTTATATTTCATATTTTTTTGTATGTTTTATTCAATGTACTTACATAAAACAATTAAAATTAGTTAAAATAAAAAGATTTTTGTTTTTTATTTGGTTATATTTCATTTTTTTTAGTTATTTGATTATATTTCATGTTTTTTTTGTAAGTTTTATTTAATGGACTTACATATAACAATTAAGATTAGTTAAAATAAAAAAAAGATTATTCAAAATTAAAACAAGGTTAAATGCAGTTTTACTAAAATCGGGTATACAAAGTTTTCTTTAGTGTTTTCTAATTTGTTAGAGATCCTTTAATAATTTAACCTTAGCCTCCCCCACATCCAAAAGTTATTCAAAGAATATAATAAGTTGACTTGAATAATAATTGCAAACAGAATCTTAAAATCCTTTTTTTTTTTACTATTTCACAAGTTTATGTAATTTACTTTTAGAACACGAAATCTTTATGAAAAAGCATGGATTAAAAAAAGAAGAGATTGTTTTAAAACATTATTTCTTAAATATATAGTGCTCATATTAAAAACTAAAAGCTTTGTTTTGAATATTGTAAAAATAATAGAATATTTTACTGAACTTAAAAAAAAAGGTCTTTTTAAATTTAAACAATCTATTTGTTTCTTATATTTCTTATAACCAATAAACGTGGAAATAAGCAACCTCACATGATTAGTTATTATGATGTAGTCATACCCTTAAAAAAAAACCTTCATAACATTTTGGTTAATATATGTTCAGAGGTCGGATCACTGATCTCTATAATAATCTCTATAATATTGTATATTCAACTTAGCTGAAATCTGATATTGTATTTAAAGCGATTAGTCGAAAAACTAAGCCAAAGGCTCACTTATAGGTGTTTTTAAAATGAAAATAATAAATAAATTTTTTAATAGGCTTACTTACTTATTTTTTAAAAGGCTTACTTATTCAAATATTCGGGGCTTTCCAATATGGCGATTTTGGCATCAAAAAATTCAAAATTTTGTTCAGAGTTGCGCTATCCAGTTATTATAGAGATCAGTGGATCGGATTGTCATTATTTAAAATAACCTACATTATATACTTTTACTTAGCAAGTCTCATTCTGGGAAAAAACTATAACATTAAACTATGATTTCAGGGCTTAACTAAATTTTTTTTTTATTTAGACAATATTTTGATTCTGATCATTGTATCGTGCATTTTTGCAGTACTTTCGTTTATATGTCTTTTGGCTTTGTGTTGCTTTAAAGATCGAAAGTCAACGTGGACTGTCGGCACCGGCATTCTTATATGCCTAACTTTTATATCAAGTTAGTTATTTTTCACTTGAGTTAATTTATTTCTTTTTTTTCTTTTAATAGGCATGATTTATAATACAAGAACACAGGTAATACAATTATCACGAGGTGTATTGCATACGTCATGATGCATTTTTTTTTTTTCGGCACAATTTTTTAGCGTGAAGACGTGTTTTTAAAAACTCCGCAAAATTGCTTATTTTTTATTACTATCAGCTATTCTACAATAATATTGATTGTATTGCTATCATAGGCGTAGAGTACTCAAATTTTCAAGGGGGGCAAAAAGTTAAAGGTTCGATTTTTGAGAAATATGTCTACTGTCCAGTGTTTATTTTTTTTTGATACAAAAATAAAAAATAATAACTTTAATTTTGGTTAACTATAGTTAACCAAAATCAAAGTTATTATTTTTTAATGTAATGAATACCCGTAAACAATTTGTAATGAATACCCATCAAGAAATTAACCGAAGTCTTGAAATGGATGTTATGTTAGATATGTTTTTTTTAAAAAATCGATACGCGCTGTAGAATGTTTTATGAAAACCAAGTAGAAATTCGAACTTAACATGTTTTTCTTTAATTTCTTGATGATATATCATCATCATTCTTGATGATGATATATCATCAAGAAATTAAAGAAAAACATGTTAAGTTCGAATTTCTACTTGGTTTTCATCATTCTTGATGATGATATATCATCATCAAGAATGATGATGATATATCATCAAGAAATTAAAGAAAAACATGTTAAGTTCGAATTTCTACTTGGTTTCCATAAAACATTCTACAGCGCGTATCGATTTTTTAAACAAAAACATATCTAACATAACATACATTTCAAGACTTCGGTTAATTTCTTGATGGGTATTCATTACAAATTGTTTACGGGTATTCATTACAGCCTTTCCTGGCTCATGGTCAATTAAAGAAACGTTTTTAGTCTACGGAGACTACTAAATAATTATTTTGCTGCACAAGTTGATACTGGCTAGACCAGAATGATTTTAATAAAAAGGATAATTTCCGAGGCAATTCTTTTCAATCCAATTTGTTCTTTAGCGCAGATGAAATCTAGAGGTGATTGAAAATCTTTTAATTGAACTTTTTTTCTGTTAGGTTCATCAATGAAATGGTCCCGGTGAAGTTGCAGTCTTTGATAATTAGGAAAATTATTCTTTTAGAAGTTTTTTATGTAGTTAATTTCAGTGTTATTTGATCCAATCACAAACTCTTCAATCCTTATTAAATAGCGAGTGGTTTCAGTTGATTCAAATCTATCGGTGAGGCCAACTAAAAACTGCATCTAAACCGGTAAAGTGTAACTGCTTATAGATCTTATTCGGATCCTTTGGCTGATAATAAGTATCTTGTAGGTATAGTAAGTAATCTTGCAGGTATAAACCCATCATTTTAGCAGATTCAGTTGCCGCATCAAAAAGTGTTTTAATATGTGAGTACGCAAAAATTTCAAAATTTGTTTCAGGGTCTAAATGATGGACTCAGCCTTAATAAATTTAAGTTAACTTCCCTGAAGTTGAATGCTTGAACCTTCTAGGGTTGTAAAAATGATTCAAATAAATTCCAATTTATAGAAGGTGTCAAAAACCTGAAAAGAAGATAAAAAGGTCATTGCTTCCAGGGTTAGTGGTAAGGTCTTCCAGTCAAACGCGAAGTTTTCTGTAGAAAACTTCTGTAATAAGTCATCTGCAGTTACTATTAATAGATATTAGAAATAACTTGCGCATTATCCATCTGGTTGGTCAAAGAAGTTTAATTGATGTTCTAATTTAGTGTCGATTTTCGCTTTTATTTTAGTCTTTTAGGCTGAAAACCAAGCAAGCCTCATTAGTGAGCCTCTGGTAAAAGCTATGAACTTTTGAACGATATTTTGACATGATACTTTCTATATCGTAAAAAGTACTTTAAAGCACTAGTATACAGCGTGAATCAAATCTTAAATTGAAATGTAAAGGCAATCTAAAGTTTTATTTTATCAAAAAAACGCATATGAAAAAATTAAAATCGAAATAAATGATTCCTTTGCGAAGGTGTTCGAGCTAGAGGATATAGATAAATTTATTATAAATAACAACAATTACAACCCTGCTACCTTCTATGAAACTAATGAATACCTTGTCCATCAAGAATTAATAAAAATTAAATCATCGGCTAGTGGACCAGATGGTATTCCTGGAACTATTCTCAGAGATTACTCCAATATTTTGGCTGCCCCCTTAACGCTCATTTTCAATCGTAGCTTTTCTCAACTTATGTGGTTTTAATTAAAAAGCTCATGTGGTTCCAATTAAAAACAAAAACGACGAGTATCGCCCTATCTCATTACTTTAAAGCGCTGTTAAGATCTTAGAGAAGATTGCACTCAAACAGTGGTTAATACCTTCTCTTCAGAAAAAATTTAATCCGTTTCAATTTGCTTTTTTTTTTTTTTTTATTTGTTATTTAGGTGCCCCAAGAAGATCTAAACGGTCTTGTCACAGAGCACCGCGGAAGTGCATTTTTAACCAGGAATTTCACGCCTCCTTTCTTACCGTGACGCAAAAATCTTTTGTTCCGGGCCCTTATAAAGGCACAACTAATGCTCTTACAATGATGGTTCTTTGGACTTTAAACAAACTCATATCTTCAGGTGGTTATGCCCGATTTATTAGTATCGATTTTAAAAAAGCATTCGATAAAATCTTTCATCTTGTTGTCCTTCTTACAGTTAAAAATGATTTCAATTTACCGGACTCTGTTACAACTTGGATTAAATCCTATTTTGATCATCGATCTCAAAAAGTCATTGTTTCTGGTGTCTCTCCAGACTCCATCCCTTGGACCAATATATCAAGTGGAGTTCCTCAGGGGTCAGTTCTAGGTCCGTTTCTTTTTGCTTGGTAGTTAATGGAATGTCGGTACTTGATAATTCAAGAAGTCTATTAAACTTGTACGCCGACGACACCACGCTATTACATTATGTTGGCCGTAATAACATCGATAACACAAAGGAAAAAGTGAATAATTTGCTAAGAAGTGAATAATTTGTTAAGTTGGTCACTACGTGCAAAAATGCTTGTCAATAATGAAAAAACTCAATTGATCAATTTTTTCTTAGAGGGTGATAATGGGTTGCCAATAACTGTCGCTGGCAGTAAGTTAGAAACTCAGTCCACTATTAAACTTCTTAGGGTGACTTTAAAAAATGACTTAAAATGGGAATCTCACTTCAAAATCGTTCATCAGAAATGTTGCGCCGGAATGTCGGCTATCCATCGCCTGGTATCATATGGTATTCCTAATGATTTAACATGGAAAAAATATCTTGCATTAGTTTTTTCGCATATGGCTTACGCTTGGCCTGCGTTCTGTGATATCTCTCGCACTCAACTTATGAAACTGTCTACCATAGAAAAACGCGCTTCTGTTTTATGCAACAAACGCCCATGCTCCAATCAACCTGCAAAACATCTTAAAGGCATTTGCCTCAGATTAATAAAAAAAGTTGCCACATTGTCTGATCATCCTCTAAGATTGTTATTTTCAGTCAGATCTATTGTTAGAAGTCTTAGGAACTCACGTAAGCTGCAAATTTTACACCCAAAGTCGATACGGCTAAAGAAATCTTTTGCGGGTTTTTGTAGGAATTCATAAATACCTAGATATTGTATTTATTTATTAAGGAAATAACAATAGTAATAATAATATTAATAATAATAATAATAACAATAATAATAAAAATAATAATAAAAATAATAATAATAATAATAGATAATAGAGAGTGACACTGAAACGGGATTTGCGATAGTACCGCGGTTACCACGGTATTTTCTACGGTTATAGGAGACGTGTAATTTTCTTTTTTTTAATTTTATTTAGGTGCCTCAAGAAGTCCTTACGGTCTTATCACAGAGCACCGCGGATGAGCATTTAATTGGAAGTTCACGCCTCCTTTCTAACAGATGTCGCAAAACTTTCCCAGAGGTGGGATTTTTAACCACGGATCCTTTGTTTCTGAGGCAAATGAACCAATGCGCCACGGCTGCAATCAACTGCGATATTACCGCGGTATTAGGAGATGCAGTATTACCGCGGTAGCGGTGGCAGATGTTAAATGTGATGATTAGGAAATGGGATTGTCCTTAAATTATGCAACATTAAATTTAATTAATAAACAAAATAAAAGATCACAAGTTTTCCTTCGCAAAGTCCAAAATTAAACCAAAAATTAAAATAGCAATGAAACCCGCAGCGCAAAAGAGCAAATGATCTCCTATTACTATTTTTTAAAAGAATTTAACCTTGGGTAATTTATTGACGATCCCAAAACGAAATATAACTACCATTGTTAAAGCTCATTTATGTGAAAAAATACAATAAAAATATAACTTACGTCGAATATCTGGGAAAAAGAAATGTAAAGTTTTCTTTTTTAAAGCTGAAAATTTCCATTTTACTACAGCTAAGTCTAAAGCTGAACTAAAATGGAAATTAAAAGGTGGTACAAGCTAATTAAAAGCTCACATAAAGTCATGTGTGAGGGAAGTCACCAAAAATAGCCAAGTACATAGTTTATTATTTTTGGTGTTAACATTTGAAAATGTAAAAAAAATATCAAATACAGACAAAACAGATTGGCTATTTTGAACATTTGTACTGTGATATCTGGTCATTTTCAATAGTTAAAGGTGTTGGTTTTAGAAAATTTGCTGAGAAGTTAAATTCAATTGGAGCTAAACTAGGAATTGTTTCTATTTATGAAATTCTCCCGTTTGCCTGAACTGTTTCTTGTCATGTTTATAGCGAACTAAACAGTGTTATGAAAAAAACATTGTTCTTGGTGTTATGAAAAAAACACTGTTTAGCTCGCTATAATCATAACCAGGAGCACTGTTAAAAAAAACTGTTAAAAAAAACTCACAATATCAACGACCAATGAAAAATGAGCTCATCTATCGTTACAACAATATCAATGGAAGAAAAATGCTTAGAAGTTAACTCAAAAAGTTTTCACTAACAACGAGATAATTATAGTTTTTATCTATTTAAATACTTGAGAGCTTCCAAAATATTTCAACTACTTCAGTAAGCTTTATTATTTTTGTTAATTTCAATCTAGTAATGTTAATTATAATATAAATATTTTACTATTATTACATTTCAATCTAAATTTAGTTTTAATTTGTAGCTTAAAAGTGAAAGATGCCACGCCTACATTTTTAAATATCATTAATTTCATTGGCACAGGCAAAGAAATAGTGAGACGCATAAAACATTCAAAAAGTCAACATGAACTAAAAAAACCGGTTAAGCAACCTGTATTAACAGGAGAAACTCACTCACTATTTACTAACAGGATTTTTAATATTCTTTTACTATATTTTACTATTTATTATTCACTAACAGGAGAAACTCACTCACTACTCATTACTAACAAATATTGTCATTGTTGACAAATACTTATTCAGCTAGAGAACAAGATAAAAAACTTCAAAGAAGACTATTTGGTTTGAACAAATCTTTATTGAAAGATGTCATCACAGTGTTAACGCCATTCGATACTGCTATTAAACATATTCCAACAGACAAAGAATGCACTTAGCACTTGGTTGTTGCAGCTTAGTATCAAATCAAAAAATATTGAAGCGCTTTTTTTCTATATATAAAATGCACAAGTTGCAACTCTTCTAGATGCAAAATTTAAAAGAATTTTTATTAAATAATAAGCGAAAAAGAAACAACTCCACCTTGATTGCTCTGATGGAGTTTTATTTTGCATGGTTTAAAAATGAAAAGTTTTAATTTATTCATTTTTAAATAAAAATGATTACAACATAAAATGGTTTACTGGTTTGTAAAATTGCAATTGCATAAAAATAAACTGAATGGGTTTGGGGTCAGGATGGGGAAAAACTTAATGGAGATAGGGTGCGATGGAAATTTTTTATGGGTTAAGACGGGTATGGTTTCTACCACTGGGTCACTCTTTAATAGATAACTCGTCAAATAATAGTCGACTTGTTTGTTGAACCATTTTAATTACTATTTGTTTTTCAGGTATTTTTGGCATTTCTGCTGTTTTGTATGCTGAAGTATTTACAGGATTTTCATGGAAATATTATGAGCATGGTTGGTCAATTATAACAGCATGGACTGGAGCAGTTTTCTGCATTTTAGCCTGGTTGCTATCTTGTAATGCTGGCTCTACTGGAAGACCGAAACTAAATCAAAAATACTTTATCAATGAAAGAAAAATTTCTTCTGTTCGCGGTGATCAAAAAGTTTTATTTTATTTTAAGTCATTTCTTTTTCGAGTGAACAACATGTTGAATGAGTTTAAAAAATAAACTTTTTTATAAAAAAAACTAAGTATAAAATATAAACTTGTCTTTCCTACACATCAACTGTTTTATCTACACTGAATGTAAATCTTCATTAAAATGATCTTAAACCAGTTCTTTTTGAGTTAAAAACTTATTTAATAGTTTTGAAAGTTAAACTTTTTTTTTTTTCACTGTCATTATAATATTAACTTGCATTTTTTGCACAACACGTCTATTTAATTTTTAAAAACTTTATAATTTTAACCCGGCATTAAAAACTAATTAACATTTGTATTTTGTAAAATAAATGCATTTAAATTTTGTTAAATTTTTGTGATTATGATTTGAACTACGAACCTTTTGGTTCCTTGCGTGCGTGCGTGCGTGTGTGTGAGAGTGTGTGTGTGTGTGCGTGTGTGTGTGTTTGTGTGAATGTGTATAAAGTACAATCTTTCTAATTTTATTTTTATCGGGGAAAATAAAAGTTCAAATTAGAGAGATTTTCGAATTATAGAAAGTTAACTTTTTTTCAAACAAACAAACAAAAATTCTTAGACCTAAAAGCGATATATATATAATGTGTTTTAAACTTTTAAATTTGAAAAAAAGTCAGTAATTGTAGATTGTCTTTTATGAGCTAGTAAATTCATGTCAAAGACACGATTTATATCTTTAAAAGCCTTTGTCAAATTATCTCCAAATTAGTTTGCTTTTTCTTAAATTAGTTAAATTAATTAAAATTAATTTAAATTTTAATTAATTTTAATTAAAATTAATTTAAATTTAAATCTTAAATTAACTAAATTAGCCCAAGCTTGAAAATTTTTGAAGCATAACTCTATCGCAAAATATGAAGCTTTTTATTTTACCAGCAAGCCATTAATTGGTACGTTATCAGATTTTGTTTGTTTGAACCATTTAAGTACAGCTTTGTTTACTAGGTAATACGAATCAACTTTCACCCGTTTAGTAGAATTTCTTTGACAAAAAGCGTCAAAGATTTTATCTCTATTCTTTTTTTAGATTGAAATAGTGTTTGGTGGAATGTCAAAAATTTTCGAAACCTCTTTAATTGTTTTTCCTTCTTTAAATTATATTAGAGTTTTTTATTTCCGCTTCAAATTGTTTTCTTTACGTATCTTTGATGCAATGATTTTTTTAAACAGTTGAAGATAATTTACACTAATCGTTTTTCAAAAACTCGCAACATTCGAAATATGAAAAAAGATTTTGTCGGTTAATGAGCTTATTACGCGTCAGAATTTAAAAAAAGTTAGATTTACATAGAGAATCTTACTGACGGGTCTAAAAAAATCCATTCGAATTGCGGAGATTTTCAAATAATAGATATTCGAATTATAGAAAATTAAACATACGAGTTTTTAAGCGCATTTCACGGTCACTTTGCATTTAATAGAATTATGGAGGTTTTCGAATTAAGGAGATTGGAGTTAGAGAGATTGTACTGTATATATATATGGATATATATATGGATATATATATATATATATATATATATATATATATATATATATATATATATATATATATATATATATATATATTTGATTTCTGGAAAGAACTCTTTTCAACCTTATAGAAAGCCAGGTGATAATCTTGATACCAAAAATGGTATCAAGATTATCACTTAACTTTTTGGTATCAATTTAGATTATCACTCCAGATGATAATCTAAGTTGATACTAAAAGTGATCTCTAATCGCATTAATAAAATTTCCAACAAAAATGCTTTTAAAAGAACCGCACCATTTTATAATAATGTTTCTCAATTATAGCGGGTTCAAAGATAAGATCGATTTCATTACAAATATAAAAATATAATACAAGATCTCAAATAAGAAACATCTTCTGGTTTAACCCCCTTATACAGAACAAACGTAGCAAAAAAATATTCGGGTATAATTGATAAAATGCTTTAGAAATACCTTATTTATATTTACAATGTAAAAACTCGCAAACGAAGAAGAAGGATCTTATTACAATAGACTTACTGAGAAAGTTTTAAAAGTCAGGTGTTATAAACACAAAACTATTTTCTTTATGAAAGTAAAGTAACTATAGGGAAATTTTGAAAGTTGTATTGGTACTATTTTTATTTTTTGTATGGTGCCACCACCATACAAATAATAACAAATTTTTGTTACATCTGATGATCGGTATTGCGTGAAACTTATCTAATTAAATATATCATAATAACTATTTATTTAGTATTGTATTAGTTGCTGTATTATTTGCTCTACCTATTATAAATCATGCTGTACTGAGCATTATTATTTTCTCTCTCTCTCTCTCTCTCTCAATCTCTCTCTGATTAATTTTCAAAAAAGTCACCCGTAACACAAAATTTTCAAAATACTATCAGGGTGCCCATTTGCTGGAAAAACTCATTGGTTTAATGATAATCAAAAAATTCATTTTCCAGTTTTTTCAGCATGTTTTTTAAAAACAGCCCTTTCTAGTTTTTTCCAGTTTTTCCAGCTGGTGGACACTCTGAGTATATAAGTAGAATTTGCAGGTAGACTTTATGGAGGCATTACAACTTTCTGAAACCTAGAATTTTCTTGAACCTCATGAAACTTTCTAGAACTTTCTGGACTCAATGTTTTTAAAAATCTCTGAAACTTTCTAGAACTTTCTGGATTTTTTTAGAAGTTTATGTAAATTAGCAAGGTCAATATATGACCTATATAAGCTGCCTGATTGAGTCAAATAATATAGAAATAAAAAACGCTCAAATAATATAGAAATAAAATAGTCAAATAAAATAGAATAATAAAATAGTCAAATAAAAATAGAATAATAAGATAGTCAAATAAAATAGAAGTACAAAAGCAATATTATTATTTTTAATTTACCTTTCAGAAATCTATTAAAGTGTTATCTTTAATCATAATGTCCTAAAAGAAAAGTGTTTTCACTTCTGAAAGAAACAGGTCCATCCGAATGAAGAATACTGTAAAATATCAATCACTGGAAGATAACAGCAGGATACCACTCAAAATCCAAATTGTTGGTTGCTATCTGTTCCTGGGAGAATCCATCAAAGGGAGACAAGAATACATAAAGCAAATTGAGAAAGAAGTAACAAGGTTATGGCAAAAGAAATTAAATTTTCCAGATTTATCAATTTAAGTAGTACAGACAAAGCTAAATTAAGTGGTGAAGACGTACAATAAATGTGTAAAACAAAGAAAATACGATTCATTGAATAAAAGTTTTGACATCACAAAAAAAGATGGTTAATGGCTCTGCAATGAGGACAAAAAATTCATCATCTTTAGATTGAAAGCAAAATACAGGTTGAGTATACAATTGGGAAGACTGCTAGTTCAAAAACTACCCAAATAAAGATAAATGTTGTTGAAGCTTACATCAACAACAGTAACGGCGACAGAAACAACGTTACCCAGTGCGGTAAACTTTTGGAGTCACCTCTCAAGATCAGGTCTTCTTAAACTATGGGTCGCGTAGTTGCGTTTGCTACGCGACCTCAAATGGGGTTACGTAGTTACATTCTGGGGTCGTGAGAGATATGGTTTTAAATATTAAAATTTGAATTGAAAGAATGTAAAATGATTTTTCACTTTTTTAGAATTATTTCCTTTTAATGTATTTGCAAACAAATGCATTACAAAAAAACGTTAAGATTTTACAAAAGCAAAAAAATTAGTACCAGAATTGAACGATCTGCTTTAGTATGCTGTTAAGATTATAAACTTTATTAGATCGAAATTATTTTAACCGATTATAAATTATATTAGATCGAAATATTTTTAACCGAACGAAAATGTGAGCTTGCTGCTTTTTTTCAAAATGATTTATGGCTATGCAAGCTGTGCTATTTGTCAGATATTTGAGAAACTAAACAATCTCAACTTGTCTCTTCAATAAAAAAATGCGATATATTTAGTTCAAATGATAAAATTGAAAGTTTTGTTAAAAAGATCAAAATTCGGAAAACTAGGGTAGAAATTCCTTCGAAATGTTTTCCAGTGTCGACAATTTTGTAATCGAGAAAAATAATTGTAAAACTTATATCGTAAAAATTTTAGTTGATCACTTAAAAGCGCTAAAAAAAGTTCCGTACATATTTTATATTAAATACTCATTTCACAAAGATAGCTTGGATTCAAAAAGGAATTTGTTTAGCTTTCGAGTAACTCAAACTTAAAACTACATTTTCCAAAAAAACCTTCAGAATGAATTCGGTATTGGAACTAGACCTGAATTTCCCACAATCGCTGATATTGGGTTAAATGTTCTTCTGCCATTCAATACCACACATATTTATGTGAATTTACTTTCTCAGCTTTAACACATATTAAATCCCAATATCGTTCATCACTAAAAAATGTTAAAGATGTCGTACGTCCAGCAGTGTCAAACATTCCACCAAGATTTAATTTGTTATGCAATAAAAACCAGGCACATCCATCTCATTACCACATCATCCACCTCATTTAATTTTTTCTTTAAATTTTAATTTAATACTTACCACTCAATAGCAAAAAAAAACAAAACAACTTTACAACTTTTTGTGCAATTTTTAATTTTAGATTTTTGTATGTTTCCAAACGAATTTTAAAGCTATATATTTCATATTTCATATATATCACTTGGCGCTTAATCCTTTGAGTCGATAAGACGTGTTTTTGTTGGAGCGTAAGTTTCAGGATTTTATATATTTTTGTTTTTGTTTTTTCGTATTCTTTTATTTTTTTCGCTCTTATTTTTTTTTTTCTGACATTAATTCTTTCTCTATTATTGCTTCATCTTATTAGCTTATTAATTAATTTCTACTTTCAAATCATAGTATACTATATTGCCTATAGTGTCTAAAATAACAGTTTGTTGTACTTCGCGCACCTATATTTAAATATACCTATACTTATATTTTATTATATATATTTTTATTTATATACTATTATAAAAATAGTTATTATAAAAATAGTTGTGACTAAGATTTTATTTATGCTTTAGGTCGATTATATTTTTACAGAGTTTACAATTTTTTTTTTTTTTTTTTTTTCTTGTTTTAAAGAGTATTGTAAACCTTTCAATTTTCGCTCGTAGTTTTTACCGCCAATGTTTAAGCGTGTAAAAGATATTTTCTAATCTATTGTTCTATTCAACAAGTTTTGAGAATAATTTTTCAACTTTTTTTTCTTAATTTTTCAACTTTTTTGTGCCTTGGCAAAATCCAAAATTTATTATCAATGAATAAATATATTTACGGAAAATCTATCACTATATGTTTACTAATATTTGTAATCAAATTACTAATATTAGTAAGTTATATACGTATAAATTTATTATATTAAAGTATATATTAAGGTATATATATACAATCATATAGAATATCAATTTTCTTGAAATTTTAAATTTTAAATTAAATTTTTAAAATTTGTAATAAATTGTAGCAATTATTAAAAATTTAAAAACTTGCAATTATTAAGTGCATTCATTGCTAATTACGTCAGCAATCGAAGAAATAGCTACCAACGCTTTTAAAGCGGCAGTAGATCTAAAGGATTTAAATGCTATTCTCATGAAAAGTTACCAGAACGATATTGCTCTTATGATCGCAGCTCTACTTGTTGCACTAGCCGAAGAGAAAATATCTAATGAATTAAGAGAAAAAGCCCTGAAAGACAAAATTGATTTACTCGTAAAACAAATGATGAGTTGAAAGAAATAAAACCAACAGCCCCACCATCATTTGCATTTTTGTTTAAGAACAAATCGGATGAGAGCAAACAGCAACGGCAGCAGTTAAGCACTTTTATCGCTGCTCAAAATAAAAATATTTGAAGTCGTGAGTTAAATGTCATTGTAGTTGGTCTTAATATAGACTTATTACTGTAGACGATAAAAAGATTGTTGAGGATATTTTTGTAGCAACTGGATTGGAGGATGCTACTGGTATCGCACGTGTTAACCGCCTCAAATCGAGCAAAACCAAAACAAAATTGTCAAACTCGAACATTATCCAGGTTTCGTTATCAAATCTTTCATCTCGAGCGGAAATACTCAAAAAATGCGCGCACCACAAACGAGAGATATACAAGGGTGTCAACGTACGCGAAGACAGAACACCAGAGCAAAAAACCGAGTTTAACACCACACGCACTAACTCAAAAAGCTTAACGACCAACTTGCCGCTACTAACATTCTCGATAGTCCGTTTCGGAATGTTATACATCGAAGAACTGGTCGCATCTGTTGCATCGACGTCATCGAATCAACGTGCAATCAGTGCTACGTATTTTCATTCCCAGCCAGAGCTCTGTCAGACTACGCTAGCCTCACAGCCGCTTCTAACTCAGAAATCTCCACTGCCAACTAGATGCCCTTGACCAATAACTGACGCAAAAATAAAACCGATGCAATCCGACACTTCTACAGTTTCACCTAGCCATCTATGTTACTGGGCAAACAACCCATGTTCACTCAACAATGAAAAACGCCAAGAGCTCTTTGCTAGACTATCAGCTCTACATAAACTCAGCCGGCTACACGTTATTTTTTTTGCGGAAACTTGGTTCACAGATTTATCAGACGTTGCCGTACCCGGCTACCAACCACATCGCAAAGACAGAGACAATAGGGGCGGTGGAGTTGCAATTTACACAAAAGACGATATCATAGTCAGCGAAGTTAGTTTTACTCATCTCAATTCAACATCAACTTAGCAAATCTGGCAAAAAATAAAACTTGGTCAAAAATCATTTCTCCTCGGCTGCTTATATCGTCCACACGACGAAAATGATCAAAATCTTACTCAGTGTATCACATCGATCACTACCGCTCAACAAATACTGCCTAAAATAAACTGCTCTGCAATGCTACTGTATGGCGATTTTAATCTTAGCCATACATCTTATGACCCTATCGAAGTTAACGGTGGCATTGCAACTGTTGCTCACGTGAGAGGTGAGCGTCAAGGCGACATCAGGTTGCAGAAGTGCCTTGATGAATGTCACTTAACTCAGCTTATCACATTCCCAACCTACCGTAGTAGTTGACACGTCGAGCCTACTAGCACACTCGACCTTATTATAACAAATGAGCCAGGCCGTGTAATCTTCATTAAACAAGGCGATTCTCTTGGAGACACTCCAATGGGCCTAGCACACTGCTTCATCGAAGGCCAATTTGCTGTTGCATGCCTCAACAATTCGCCAACTTTGTCGCTAAAGCCTCGACTTATTTGGAGTCAAGCAAACTACGCAGCAATATCAGCACATATTGCAGCTGTTGACTAGGAAACAGTATTCACTGGATTAAATGCAAACGAAGATTATCAACTTCTAGCAACCGTGTACAATGAAGCCACTAACTTACACATTCCGTCAACTACCACTCCCTTTACAGGAAAACAAGAGCAATGGGTAACACCAGAACTTATTGAAGCGGTCAAAGCTAAACGCACCTCTTGAGCCAAGTACATTAATGCAGGTCGAGATACGCACAAACTTCTCAAAATATCGCATTGCACTGCCTGCAAAAAAGTTAAAAAAATGGTCAGAGCTGGTAAACAGAAGTACGAAGAGCTACTCGTCAGGGATTTAGAAAGCAATCCTAAACGCTTACATGCATATATAAGAAGCAAGCAGAGCGTCAGTAACAACATTACATCGCTTGAAACAGTCAATAGCAACATCACAACCGATACCGGTAATATATGCGCATCGTTAAATAACTATTTTCAAGCAGTCTTTGTTTTAGAGCCCGAAAGTTCAATGCCAGGCTTTGAAAGTTGTACAGAAGCAGTTTGTGTCATCGATCCATCAATTTTCTCTATCGACATAGTACGAAAATCCCTAAACAGCCTTAATGAAAGAAAATCAACCGGCTACGATGCCTTACATCCACGGGTCCTCAGTAAATGTTCAGCTACTTTTGCCAAGTCTCTTTCGCTTATATATAAATGCTCGTTTGCAACTGGTGTAGTTCCAACTGGTGTAGTTCCAACTGGTGTAGTTTTGCAAGGTATGGAAGTGAGCCAGTTTCGCTCACTTCCATACCTTGCAAAATTATGGAAAGTATTTTACAAAAAAGAATAATAGAACACTGCGTTGCTAATGGACTAATTTCTCCAAACCAGCATGGCTTTGTTCATCGTAAAAGATGCGGATCAAACCTTTTAGAAACTCGGGACATCATGACGGAAGCAACTCACTGCAAACACGCAGTAGATGTCATTTACACAGACTTTGCAAAGGCGTTCGACAAAGAACCACAAGCTGAAAGCGTACGGTATTCAAGGCGCTCTCGTTGATTGGATTGCAGCTTGCTAAACAATCGATGTCAACGAGTGGTTATAAACAGTATTACTTCTGAATGGAAAGCAGCCACTAGTGGAGTGATTTAAAGCTCGGTCTTGGGCCCATTGCTATTCGTAAACTTTGTAAACGACCTGCCGGACAGAATTACTCATCATATGAAACTGTTTACCGACGACAGCAAAATAATAGGGATAGTTAAAAAGGAGCCGGACAGCATGACTCTCCAAGATGACGTTGACAGAGCAGTGAAATGGTCACACATTTGGCTCTTGCATTTCAACGTTGAGAAATGCAAAGTAATGCATGTTGGGCGCAGATGTAATAAGTTGACGTACAAATACTCAATGTCTAACGTCGACGGCACCCGTCGTCCTCTCAAAAAAACCGCAGTCGAAAGAGACCTTGGTGTGATGGTCTCGAATGATCTTAAAGTCAGACCGCAAATAGAGTCAGCCGCATCAGTAGCAAATAGAATGCTAGAGCGACTCAAAAAAACATTTCGCAGTTTTTTTTATGGCGCACTCTGTATCTCACTTACATCCGCCCCCATCTTGAGTTTGCTGTACAAGCCTGGTCACCGCATTTAAAATCAGACATTACTATTCTCGAGCAAGTCCAACAACGAGCAACATAAACAATATCGACTATTAAACACCTGTCCTATGAAGATCGACTCCAACGGCTCGGTTTAACAACTCTTGAAGAATGCCGCAAAAGAGCAGATCTTATCGAGCAATTCAAAATCACTCGTAAACTCGAGCTTGTCAGTTTTGTCGTCCCGCAAAAATTTTCAAAAAGTAAAGATAAGTATAATCTAAGAGGTCATAACCAGCGTCTGTATCTCCATGTTCGTCAGCATAGAGGGGCCTGGTGTAACACCTTTTCATCAAATTATAAATGGATTATTGTATTTGTATTTGATCACTGAAATAAATAATAATAATAATAATAATAATAATAATAATAGCAATAATAATAATAACAATAATAAGTATATGACATATATACACATATATATTATTAAATGAATAAATCATCAAAAAATATTTACTTATCATTACTTTATATTTACATGGGGTCGTCAGGAAACTCACAATTACAAATGGGGTGGTAAGTAAGAAACGTTTAAGAAGCCCTGCTCTAGACTAATAAATGTAAGGTGAAGCTAAAAAAGTCATTTCGTGTCACCCGGTGCGGCCCGCACCCTTTGCACCTCCTAGTGAGGCCACTGCTAAATAAGATAATAGGTCGGGTGAATAAAAATTAGTCAGCTTTACATGAATAAAAACTTCAGCAGTTTTGCACAAATTTTTATTCACAATTTACTCAGTAACTGCTCATCTTAACATGAATAAATAACTTCACAAAATTATATAAGTTTTTATTTACGTAAAGCTGACCAATGACTTAGGAAAAGCAATAGACGATTTCGCTAAAGCCCGTTCTCCATTCAGAACTTTTTGCGCTTTGGAGGAGCGGAAAAGTTCTTTGATCATGCGCAGATTGTAAAAAAACTGTTTGCGCATGTTCAAAGAACTTTTCCGCTTCTCTAAAGCGCAAAAAGTTCTGAATGGAGAACGGGCTTAACTCTGAGTTTGCCGAACAACTTCACGGAATATATTTTTTCAAAAAAAAGTTTAAAATATCAGGGGGTTGAATATGCTTTGAAATACAATAAACGGTAAAGCATTACTTAATTTTTAACCTCCTGAAATTACTTTTTTAGCGTATAGCAACAGCTTGTTTTTCTCTAAATCTTTAAAACTGTATCTTTTTTTTCTTCAAAAAAAAATATAATTACAAAATATAATAATTTAGTATATAAAGTACAAATATAGATGCGCCTAACATTAATACATTTGTTTCAGTATTATTAACATCTCAGCTTACCCCCGCTTTTATAAAAATGTTAATATTAAAACAAAACTCATAATAAATCTTAGCGTTAAATTTAGAACAGAATTTATCTTAAAAGTAAAACTTTTTGCGATTCATACTAATTATGGCAAAATCGCATTTAACTTTAGAGTTTTTAACTATCAATGATTTTAAGATTTACAGTACAACAGCACTAAAAAGTTTTTTGAAGATTATAAAAAAAGCTACCACAGGTTCATTTGAAACTTTAGTTGCTAGGTAAAAGTTTTGTATTATTTTCTATTTTGTTAACGTACCAAAAAATTATATATATTTTGTATGAAAATAATCTTAATTACATATATAACATTTTAAAATGTAGTTTAAAAGTATGTTTGTTTTTAACTTTAGAGCCTTTAGTGCATATGAAGAAGGTTGTGAAGTTGATGTTGATTGTAAACACTCAGAGCGATTACTGCTTGATGTTTATACTGAAAAATTTTTGTTCTGCAATCTTCCCGATCCTTTTTCATTAAAAATTGGTTGGTGTGGCAAAGAAGAAGGCATGAAATCTTGGCCTAGTCTGTTTTTTATGGACATAGAAAAATATTTTTTAAAAGTCAGTAGACAAGAAAACCTATGTAGAAAATTAAAAAAGTGAATACAATGAAGGAAAAGCTTATAGATACTATTCAAATAATTTTATTGGGGAAATTTTTATCTACAGTGTTAGTTGTGAGTCCATATATTGTCTGTTTAAAACAAAATTTGTTCCCTCACAGAGAGTTGAGGCAAAATCTTATGATGTTTGGGCAATTGTTAAGAAAGATGCAAATGTTCAACCTGGGGGAACTATTATTGCAAGCTATTGTACTTGTGTTACTGGATTATTAGGTATATTATCCTACTTTAATTAATTATAATACTTTCATGTCTAAGCTTTTTATATTTCTTTTTTTTTCGTTGTTGTTAAATTTTATTAGTTTTGATTATGTTGGATTTGTGTTTTATTTTCTTGTAAAAAAAAATTATTTTAATTTATTTTTTTACAGGAAGTTGTAGTCATGTAGCTGGTATGCTATTTTGTATAGAAGCTGCAGTATTATTGGGGTTTACACAACTCACTTGCACTCAAAAACTTGCAGAGTGGAACATTCCTTCTAAAAAGAAAAAAATCGAACCAGGAAAACTGACTAATTTTGATGTTAGTGCAGACCATTACAAAAAAAAAGTTTTAAAAAGAAATTTAAATCAATGCAAAGATATTGTGAAAAAGCGTCTTGAGTATGTTCCATTTTGTAAAGAAAATGAAGCCTACCTGAAAAACAAAGAGAATACAAGAAAAAATCTTTTTAATGAAATAAAGGATCTTATACCTCAAAGCTGCTTTGCAGAAATAATGATTGGTAAAAAGCTTTCTTCTGAAATAAATAAAAATACTGTACATGTGGATTCAATAAAAGAAGCTGTTGAGAAATTTAAAAAAAATCCATCATTTTCAGCTAAAGAAAATATAAACTTGGTTGTTGAAAAATTAGTAAGTTGCCTTCACCTAACTGATGAACAAATTAAATATATTTACGAGAAAACTATATTGCAATCTCAGTCTAGAGATTGGATAATCCATCGTAAGTGTAGAATGACTTCTTCAAACTTCAAGCAAATATACACACGTACAAAATCATATTTAAATAATCCAAATATTTGTACTACTTCCATATCAAATATCATATTAGGAGAGTCAGTTTTCAAACATTTTCAATGAAGTATGGAATTGCTCAAGAAGTACATGCAAAAATTAAATATAAACATTTAATTAAAAAATCACATGAAAATGCTACTTTTATTAATCCTGGAATGACTATTCTTAAAACACACCCCTTTATTAGTGCTTCACCAGATATGGAAGTATTTTGTTCATGCCATGGTGCTGGATTAGTTGAGATAAAATGCCCATCAAGTTTAATGTTTAAAGTTCCTTCTAACGAAACCTACTCTAGCCATTTAGAGAAAATTGACGGCACAATAAAACTTAAAGTTAATAGCAGCTACTATTTTCAAATACAGGGACAATTAGGTGTTACAAAAAAATTATATTGCGACTTTTTCATTTTTTCTGAATGTGGTTTTCATCTAGAAAGAATTAAATTTGATGAGGTTTTTTGGTTGGATATGTTATGGCACTTGAATTTGTTTTGGTGTAAAGTTATAACCCCTCTTCTCCTTAATAACAATGAAAAGGTTCAGCCGGAGTTAATCATAATTAAGAAGCCTTTAACTAGCTATCCTTTCCATGATTTGTTTCAAGATGATAGCAAGAATAAATTTTTAATTGATTTGACATTGATCTTCCTTTAGAATATAACATGTAAATTTTAAAACTTTTACAAGATTAAAATTTTTGTTAGTTTTCTTTTTTTGGTCAACTGTTTTATTGAGTCAGCTTAATAGAAGCTTTTTGGAGATAGGTAAATAAAAATATTAAAATAGGTTTTTGTAAAGTACGTATTAACACTAAACTTAGACTCTTTCTCCTGCATGCTTCTGTATACTTTTAAAGACAGTCTCCGAGGAGGGGTTTTTAAAGGTGTTCTTTTAAAAGTATACAAAATTTGTGTACATGCGTATTATTTATTACAGAATCGAGACCATTCCTCTCCACATTTTTGTAAAATTTCAAAACATGAAAAACAAACAAGATCAAATTTTATTGTTTGGGGTCTTCCATAAACTATACACGCAGGTATAGAGGGAAAAAATTACTAAGAAAACGCATGAATGCGAAAACGTATGAATCGGGGTGTTAAGGAAAACAAATGCGTAAGTTGATTGACTATCTCTCTTAAAACTCAATTTATTTTTTTAACAAGAGCATCAAATTTCACAAGTTTAAAAAATCAAAATATGTTATGTAACATATCTCGAATTGACTCAGTTTTTTTGTTTTTATTATGTATGGATAGAGAATACACAAATTTTAACCAAAACTTTTTCTTTAAAAAGGTTTTCTATCTTAACTATCATTTTTTTAAAGATTTCTTAGAGAAATTAAAAATGAAAATGTTTTAGATTCTTTTAAAACCTTTGAAAATTTAGATCTAGATTCAATTTCAGTCAACCATTATAGGTACCTTTAGATTTGATAGTGCTGCACACACAATTAAAATGTCATTTAAATGTGGTAACATAGTCATTGGAAATTCACATGATAAAATTCTGTGCGTTTTAATCCTGCGTATAACTTGTTCTACCACTATTCTCAGTTTTGCCACCTCAGTTGTTTTTATTAAATCAGTAGGTGACATTTGCGAAACGCCCCGTCTGCCAGGAGGGACTGTAAAGTAAATACTGCTACTTGAACATTCATTTACAATAGAAAATCCTTTGTCTGCCATTATTCTGGAATGTGAAGGAACAGTTTTTAAAAATTCTGAATCGTTTGTAATAAATTTGTCTGAGCATCTTCCAGTGTATGCTTCAGAAATAAATGTAATAAATCCATTAGGTCCTACTGAAATTAAAAACTTCATAGTGTTATGATGCTTGTACTCTGACCAGGTAGCTGCTTGCAGCTCTAAATTTCTTGGTGTTTCAATGAATATTTCTGAACAATCAATCACGCCTATTGTGTCCGAATATTTTCCAAATCTTACAGGTGTATTAGCACGCATAATTTCTTGATCAAGAGTAAAAATAACACAAGTTAATGATTTTTGCTTATGCGACACAATGATCGCAAAAAGTGACCAACGGAGCCGTCCAGTTACGTAGACCTGGGAGATGTGAAAATAAAAACAGATTGAAGATGATGTCATTTAGGTAAAAAAACATAAATTAATGCAAAGACTATTTAGTTGGAAGAGTAAAAGTAAGCAACTCAGGAAAAGGGGAATAAAAACTCACACTCTAGTCATCTTTTAACAAATGATGAAGTAATGATCTATGAGTAAACAAGTCAATAAAAATTCGCTGGTTTATAATGGTATTCATAACTAAAATAATCGCACCATACAAGTGTCTAATAAATGTGGTACTATATATGTTCTAAACTCTAGATAAAAAATTGATAACTGATAATCACCTGTGTAACATAAAAAATATATAAATGTCGTTAATGTAACAAATTCATAATAAAAAGCTCGCAGAGCGCAAAACTACATGGCTATAAGAGGTAAAAAAATGTTGGTGCCATAATAACCAATTAGAATTAAGTAGTGGATAAATGGTGATCCCCCTCCTCAGGAATGCACTGCGATCACCAATGACGTTTCGGAGAGCCCGAGACCTGCACTAACGCCACTCGTCAGGGACGTGTCCTTGCAACAGATCTCACCGCCTGCACTCTACGTCATGCTAGTCAATATTGCAATATAATAGGACTACACTACAAAAGCAAAAAAAACCAATCCCTATCCCAGTTTTTGAAAACAGCTCCAACATTCTTAGAGATCTCGTGAGGGTGGTGAGGAACGCGCGTGGTGTGACCATAAACAGATATGTAAACACATATAAATATAAGGTACCCTTATATTAGAAGAAACAAACTTGTACACATATACGTATACGCGTGTGTAAATAAACAATTATAATGTGTAGAAATAACAAAAGGCGAATAGAAAATAGTAATTAATAATTAATAGTAACTTACCGTTTCTTTTATGGCTGAAATATGTATTATAAATATAATAAGTAAATACCACTCATAAGCATTGATACTAAGTTAAGATGTTTTGTGGTTAGTACGAAAGTAGTTAAACGAAAGTATGATAAAAAATATATAACTCTAAATAGTATGTTCTCATATAAATCTTGCCTGGTAAGTAGAGACAATAGCTATCACACAAAACAGACTCAGAGTAATTAAATAACGATTAGCCAGAGATAAAAAAATATACAAACATCAAATCAGTAGGCAGAAAATAATGAGGAAATAAAAAGATAAAACAATATATGCGATTTTCAACTAATAGCTTATAACCACTAAAAAATGTAACGTTAAAAAACAATATTGTTGACAAAACGACCAAAGGAACGTTAGTGAAGACTGTATAGTGCAAACCACAACAAACTAACTTAGCGACGTCAAATCGAGAAAATTGGATAGAAACAAAAAACCTAACGAAATCGTGATTAGTCTAAACTTATCTAATGAAATTGTTCAGTATATTCCAACCAAGAATACATTTGTTATAAAAAATACGCTAATACGTACTTTTGTGTAAAATTTTCGCGCTGTTATACTTCTCACAAATATACGGCCTCATTCACACATAACACAAATCTAAATAAATATACAAAAATAAGGTAAAAAAAAAAAATTATGAACAAAAGTATATAGTAAAGAACAAATATTTGAAATACTGATTTTGAAGACCGTTGATGTCTACAAGTGTGATGGTGTAGTGCATTAGTATGTACCGTTTGGTCGTCTAGTATGGTCTCGTTATGTCTTCGTTCACGTTAAAATCGGGTGAATAGAAAGCTAAACACACTCACTTCTTGCGCTTATGGGCTAGCACATCAGAGCCAGACGTGAGACTTACAGAATGGATTTCAATTGATCGAATGCACACATTAGTCACCGTAGGCCACAAGCCATCACTCTTAACCAAAAGAGCTACTGCCCCGTGCTGGTGTGGAATGATGTGCTATGAAGTGAGATTTCAGATCCGAACACATAGTTAGCGAGCGCTGATCCGACGTGCATTGTGGAGCTTCCGATTGAGCGTGTGCGTGAGTGTCAGCGTAGTCATTAGGTTATTGAGCGCCGTAACCACATCCAGCGGGATAGCCTAATGTCCGTTTTGTCGTTGTGACGTACATTGGAAAAAGTCGGGGCTCACCAGCCACAAATAATAAATTTTTGTTTATGCGACACAATGATCGCAAAAAGTGACCAACGGAGCCGTCCAGTTTCGTAGACCTGAGAGATGTGATAATAAAAACAGTTAGAAGATGGTGTCATTGAATATAAAATAAAAATAATATGAAAATATAAAATGAGTGATAAGACTTTTGTGAAGGTAAAGAACGAAGTAAATGCTCGGAGGGCAGAGAGAGAACAAACTAACACTCTAATCACTCTGTATGTAGATCATATGTAACAAAGAACAAATATTTGATATACTGATTTTGAAGACCGTTGATGTCTACAGGTGTGATGGTGTAGTGCATTAGTACGTACCGTTTGTCGTCTAGTATGGTCTCGTTATGTTTCCGTTCACTATCAAATCGGGTGAATAGAAAGCTAAACACACTCACTTCTTGTGCTTATGGGCTAGCACATCAGAGCCAGACGTGAGACCTACAGAATGGATTTCAATTGATCGAATGCACACATTAGTCACCGTAGGCCACAAGCCATCACTCTTAACCAAAAGAGCTACTGCCCCGTGCTGGTGTGGAATGATGTGCTATGAAGTGAGATTTCAGATCCGAGCACATAGTCAGCGAGCGCTGATCCGACGTGCATTGTGGAGCTTCCGATTGAATGATTTACCATGATTGAATGATTTATTTAGGTCCTACTGAAATTAAAAACTTCATAGTGTTATGATGCTTGTACTCTGACCAGGTAGCTGCTTGCAGCTCTAAATTTCTTGGTGTTTCAATGAATATTTCTGAACAATCAATCACGCCTATTGTGTCCGAATATTTTTCAAATCTTACAGGTGTATTAGCACGCATAATTTCTTGATCAGGTGATGATCATCCCTTTTCCGATTATTGCTCTCCGACCATTCCCAACCCGTTCCCATCCTTAAAAATAACGTCATAAATAACGTCATAACTAATGTTATGACATATTTAATCCCGTTAATTTTTTTTTTAAAAAAAGATTATTTTCTTTTGTTTAAAGTTAATCTAGCGTTATAAAAAAATATATAAAAAAAAACTTTTTTTTGTAAAATTTTATTATCTTTTTACGATTATAAATGGGTAAAGTAAAAAAAATTCAAGAATGCAAAAAAATAAAAGTAAGACGACAATTATTCGTCAAACCAATAGCTGTAAGTTTATTGTTTTTTTAAAAAAAAAAAAAAATGTTTTGTATTTTTTTTAAGTGATTGTGTTTTTTTTTCTAGATTGCTAAACCCTATGTGCCGGAAAATAAATATAAAGCACCTCAAATTTATGTACCTCAAGTGGTTGAAACAAGTTTTTTGTTTATATTCAAGTGTTTTTATTTAATCAAGCTGGAAAATAAAAAAACATTTCTTTGTATCCTATTAATTTATTAAATTATTATATTATACATGCTCGTGTTTTTTTTTATATCCCTTTTAATAATATTACTGAACAATATTGTTTATTTTGATCATAAGCACACACACAATATAATGAAGTATTCCAAAAATAAAGTATAATATCATTAATAATATCAGCAACATAAACAGCAAAAAGTTTAACAAAAAGTTTGCAATCTTTCCAGAAACGAGTAGCAGCAATTTTGCTATTTTTCCCAATTTTAAATAATTATATAATTTTACTGCATTAAGTTTAACAAAGTTTCCAACACATTGAAAAAACTTGCATATTTGTACACCACTTCTTTTAATAAAATTTAAACCTTCCATTTAAAATGTAAAAAGAATTTCTATTATTGTAACAGCAAATATAACAACTTTAACGAACTTCTTAACTATGTATTTGATTACCATGTGAATCGTACATATACGGATTTAGTTTAGGTTTTTCTGAATTGTACGGTTTAACAACTGCAACAGGTTTTGGTTTATCGAACTGTTGTAATGGTTTGTTCTTTGATTCCATCTGTATAAAATTAAAATACATTTCGCCTTTTTTTTATATATTTTTTTATAACGCTAGATTAACTTTAAACAAAAGAAAATAATCTTTTTTTTAAAAAAAAATTAACGGGATTAAATATGTCATAACATTAGTTATGACGTTATTTATGACGTTATTTTTAAGGATGGGAACGGGTTGGGAATGGTCGGAGAGCAATAATCGGAAAAGGGATGATCATCAATCAGGAGTAAAAATAACACAAGTTAATGATTTAGCCATTGCTCTTATCCATGATCGAAAAATCTCAGAACAAGTTGATACTCCATTACTAAATCTTACAGCCAAATCTTGATGTAGGCTTCCTAATCTCAACTTCATTAAAGCAAGCAAGAATTCATCCTTAGAACATAGTTTTCTAGGTCTACCTGTTTTTTTACAGTACTTGTATATCGTTTTTTTTTGCAGTAGAAATTGAAGTAGACTTAAACCTTTTATGTACAAATGGTAGTATGAAATTATGAAGCTTGTGAAGTAGTTTTAAAGAAGATATATTTGTATAGAAATTACATAATTTGTCATTTTTAATTATTACTATATATATATTTTTTTCTATTACAGTTTTATTAACTTGTTTATAAAAAGTTCTTTGAGTGTTAACTTGGTATTTTCTAATAATATTCTGTTTTTCATCTTCTACCATTCGTATTTGAGTCTTTAAATTCAAAATTACTAATGAAAGTTCTCTTATTATTGCTAATAATCCCATCAATAAAATAAACATATTTAAAAAATTGTCTTGGTTTAGTATTTGATTAGGAAGACAATATTTGTTGGTTTTGTCTGAACTATTTTGTAATGCTGTTGATGGATAAGGAGTAATATAATTAGTTTCGGCTGTCGTATCATTTAGGTGTTCAGGACAAGTGGTAATAATTTTAGAAGGTGGCATCTCATTTCCAGTAAAACTAGTGTCTATTTTTTAAACTAATGTTATGATTTATTTGAGAGTTTATTTGAGAGATTAAATGGACGATCTTGATTATTACAACTTTTTTTACAAAGTTGATGAGTTTTTAAAGAACTAGTTGATGCTATATCATCTTTTTTTCTTAGTTTAGCTGGTGGAGATAGAATTAATACTCTATCTTTTGTCATAGCCCATTTTCAGGGTAGGATACGGATTACATTCAGTTGGCATACCATCAACAAAATGGAATTGAACAGATACGAGAGTCTTTAGATGGACTGAAAAGTTTATTGTTATCTTTATTTATTCTATTCAATAACTTTTTCCAAGATTCTCTTTTCACTAAGTTTTTCTTTGCTGTTGGAAATGGATAAAGTCTAAAAAATAAATTAAATTAATTTATTAAGAACATTAATTAATTTAGAATAAAATAATATAAAAGTACAAAATACCTTATTTAAAAAAATATACTTTACTATAATATTATAAAAATATGTTTACATACAAAAATTAGTTATTATAGTATACTTATATAACTTATATAATAATGTTACTAAGCTTAAAATAATGTATATACATCTTAAAACAGCCCTGAAACTTTTAATTTGCATTTGTTTTAAATTAAGGAAGGGTTTTTATATTAGATTGAATAATCACTCCATGATTAAATTCATTGTTTAAGTCCTCGTACCCATATGGGTATATAGTATCCGAATAAATATGGCCTATTTATCCAGATGAGATATATTGGCAACTAATAATACATTACTAGCTAAAAAAACTGCTTTTAACATATTGGAACTTACCGAAACGGTTGTGAACAAGAACACTCGTTAGCTTGTCTTTTGCAATGATGTTGCTTGCAATCTGCCTGTAACCATTTTTTTAATATTCATGAGCTATTTAAGCATCCTTTTACAGCACAACACATTGACATTTTTTACTTAAAATTAATGCTAACTTAATTATTAAAAAATATAAAAAACTTGAGTCGGTCTTTAATTGTTTATTATGTTATTTGTTGTAAATTAATGTTGACTCCATTATTAAAATAAACGTAAACAAAGTGCTCGAAATTTTTATGAAGTTTTACATCGCATCATATCTGGAGTATTCTGCCAAACTTAAAATAAAGTTAGCGAAAAGGTCTATTGCTTAATTTTATTCACCCGGCCTAAAATTTATTGTATTTTACTTAATATTTATAGTATAACAATTATTTCTTAAGCAGCTTTTAGAAACAAAGCACTAGAAAGTTTGAAATCTAACTCTTTATAGGTGCAAAAAAAAAAAAAGAATTATAACGGTATCACTCCATTTGATATATAATAAATGCTACGATTATTTCACTAAATACTTTCTCAAAATTAAACCAGACCAGAAACTCTGGGCATTATATCAAGCATATATATAAAAAGATTTTATCTATATTTTGTATAGTAAATATTTATTTAAAAAAAAATGGTTATTAGCATAAACCTTACAAGTTGCATATAATTATCCCTTTTAAAATTCACTGAAATAAACACTAATTTAATTTTAGTGAATTTGCCAGTTGTTAACCTTGATAAACATTTGCTAAGTAATGTATTGAACTTTTCTTTATGTTTCATATATGCTATAAAAATTAATAAATTAAATCAACCGATAATTTATCATTCTTAAAAAATATTTGACACAAATTTTACAAGCGTTTCGCAAATTTTTTTCAAAATTTGAAAAGATACCCTTGAGTATTGGAAAAAATGAGGAACCTTTTGTTGTTGTTTTTTTTTTGAGTGGTACCGGGCACATAACTGTAAATCAGGATAGGATGCAGATAAACCCACTAAAACTATTTAGTCCCTTAAGTTCTTCTTCCTTCCTTTCAGAAGAATTTTAGAAAATCGTTTAATCTTTCCTCATTCAAAGTTTTAGCTATATGACTGATAACCCTGAAAATGTCATTCGAGTTTGTTTTTATTTGGATTCACTCCCAACAAGGCTGCAAGTAACTACTATAACTATTACATTTGTGTTGTTATATGTATAAATTACATATGTATATAAAGAAAAATACTTATATAAATAATATATATAAAAATACCTATATAAATAAATCCTAAAATAAACATAAAAAATTTCTAAAATGAACGCCTATAAGTAAAAACTATACGTCATTAACATATCCAAAAAATACTAGATGTGCAATGCATAAAATACCATAAAATACGCATGCAAGCAATGCATAAAATACCAAGTGCACATACGGACACAAATTTACGTACAAGCACTGATGGATTATGGAGTAAAAGTGAAATGGGTTATTTTCAACATTAGTTTGATACATAGATACACCACTAACAGCAATAGAGTTTTATTAACTAGCCCCGTCTACATAAATCTATCTTAAAATGTAACGTAATAAAACTTTAAAAACGCTTTATTTGACTGCATATCCGTACACGTGAGGAGATAACGACCTTAGGGGTCCACACGATTTTGTCATGTCAACGCAATATTCTTTATAACAGTAGTTTGAAAAACCAGCTTTCGGTATTTCATTCTCTATTTGAATAGCACAGCATTGCACAAAGAATAAAGAAAGTGCGAAATTTTTTTGCCAAAACCATTGAGAACTAAAACGATGTTTCTCCAATGTGTGTTCGATAAAAAAAAGCTTACCACCAGGAAGCAATACGCGTTTAATTTCAGCAAGGGCACGAGATTTATTGCGAACTGAACACAGAGAATGAAACGATACTACGCATGAAACTGATTCATCAGATAGACAACTTAATTCTTCCATTCGAGTGCAAAAAAACTTGACAGACTCAAAATCATTTATTAAAATGTTATTTAGCAACTTTGATTCGCTTGATTCGTCAAAATCAGTTCCTATAATATTTGCAGACAAAGGATAATAAGAAAGATTAGCACCGCCTCCAATATTAACATCAAGAATAACAAGTTTTTTGTCAGCATATAAAGGCAATCCATGTTCTTTATCAAGTCTGAAACATCTAAAAAGTTCTTTTTTAAATTTCAGAACTTCTTCTTTATTACAAGAACGATGGAAATAAAAAATTTCTCGATCAAAATATGCAAAAAACTCAGTTCGTCTAAGAATAAAGGGAACACAGCGTCCAAGAAGAATTGCCGATGCAGCATATATTAAGCCTAGAAAAATTTGTAAAAAAAAATTCACTATTCTATATTCCTACAAATAACGAGTTTATTAATTTGCAAATATGTGTAATATTGCAATGTCTAAGCTTTTTGCATACTTGAGACCCACTGGTCAAATTACATGTTTATTTTAAGTATCTTTTTAAAATCAATATTTTATCGATATTCTGTAATGCGTAAAAATGTCCGAAACAATGTAAGAATTAAAATGAAAATATGATAAACACTAAAAATACCTCTAACGAATTTGTTTTCAGGAAGACTATGGTGCAACCAACACATAAGCTTTTTGACGTCATCAAACAAATCTTGCACACCCTCAAATAAATGAAAGGTTGTGATAGTAGTCAAACCAGAAACAATTAAATTTGACATTTTACAATAAGTATTTTCTTTACTTGTCTAAAATAAGAACAGAATTCTAATCACGTTTTTGTAGGAAAATAAAAAAGCAATGAAAGAAACATGTGATGTTTCTCGTGTTTTCAAATTCTGTTCAAAATAATATATAATTACATATTACACATTAAAAAATGTATAAATGAAATTTCGTTTAGTATAAGAAAATAACATGCATATAAACAAAACATCACTGCTATAGAGGCTTATCTCTTTCTAAAAACAAGTCCATTACAGCATTCATGTTAAAAATCTTCTCATTATCGTACTGATGGTCATCTTTTAGCTCCTCATAGTCTTTTCTTTTACTTATTAAGTTTGAAAAAGACTCTATAGAAATCCGTATTGCTTCTTCGTGTGTAACGTTTTTTTCAATATGTTTGTAATATTCTTTTAAAAATGAATCGGTTTTGGTCTCTAATATAACAATATCGTCTTGCAATAAAGAAACAGGATCACGACGAGCCTGAGGGTAGGCTTTATAAAATTCTCGCACAACGTCATCCATTGGAAGGACGATTTTTCGTATAGGAGTATCACACTGTACTTCATCGGCTAATGATAATAAACTAGTTTTAGGAGGAGGAAATCTTAGCACAATATCATACCATAAAGGAGGTGTTTTTAAACTCCCTGTTGCTAGCAGATGTCTTACACGAGTTATAATAGTTCCCTGGAGATGACGAGATCCAACCATTTTATATTTTCTACAAGTAAATTTTTTTTCATCATTTAATCTAATATATATATATATATATATATATATATATATATATATATATATATATATATATATATATATATATATATATATATATATATATATATATATATATATTATATATTTTATATATAAATATATATTATATATTTTATATATATTTATATATATTTATATATATTTATACATAAATAGATAAAGGAATACTATATTTAAAAAATACCAAACAAAGCGGTGGTGGGTGGTAGAATTTTTTAATAAACAATGAATGAGTTTGTGATAAACAAAAGAATACACTTAAAAGTATAAATTTGAAAACCAAATTTAATGCGTAACAAAACATTTTTACACAAATATTACCGTGAACTATTTATTAACTTAATTCTTAAGCTTCTTTGCAAGTAAGCATAATACAACCATCTAAAACTATTATGTGGGGTTGGGGAGGAGGGTATTTTTTGGGTAAGAAAAAGTTTCTTTGAACAATAATAAATATATAATATAAAAATTTAAAATATATAGTATTATATAACATGTTAAAACTACATAAAATTGATTATGCATTCTATTTAAAAAATAACAACTTTTTTATCAAAATATTGAAGACAAGAAGCAAAGTAAGCATAAGAGCTTTTATCAAACAAGATTATTTAAACATAATAAAGAGCTTTTATCAACTCAATTCAAAAGACTAAGTAAATACTAAGTCTTGTAAATTACATGCAACTCATCAGACTAAGTATTTACTTCTAAGATTTTATTTATGGTTTTAAATTATTAAAACCGTACAATTAACTTTCATATATATATATATATATATATATATATATATATATATATATATATATATATATATATATATATATATATATATATATATATATATATATATATATATATATATATAACATGAAAATCTATAAAAGAAGTAAAAGGTTTACAAAATGCTACAATTTTCAAAATAAACACAACAATAAAATAAATTTTCAAGTGCACTCTTCGATTGCAAGCATGCTATTTCTACCATTTGTATCAAAATACTCTAAAGATGGTACTCCACCTTTATTCATTAGATCTTCCACTATTTTCTTTTCGATATCTTTTTTTTTAATATCTTCTTCTTTCGTCCAACTTTGGTCATGTTCTAATCTATATGAACCTAAGAATCTGTGGGGGCAGTTTGACCATTCCTGAAAAAAACATAGTTTTACTTTTAAAGTTAAATGTTTAAGTTTTTCTGTTTGATATCAAGCATAAAAAAGCAACACAAACATGTTATCATTTATATCTCATATTTTATATATATGTGTGTATATATATATATATATATATATATATATATATATATATATATATATATATATATATATATATATAAATTTTTATCAAAATTAACTTTGAATTATTAAATCCAAATAACTTTGTTTAAATTTTCTAAAATTTATTTATAAAAAATAGTTATAATTTAGACCTGAACAAAACTTGGAAAAACATAAATCAAAAAGAAAAATACACCCATAAGGATTTCAATAATTTTTTTAAAACTATTGAACATTCTATTGAATTACTATTGCAATAAAAAATTTAATGCTTTTTGAACCTTTTATTTTTTTTTTCTCAGTTTTTTATTCAATATTAACCGATGTTTTGAAATCTTATTTAAATCTAGTTCAAGAAAACTTACTAAATAATAAATCTGAATTAATTTCTTAATGCAGACATGAAAATAAATACCTTTTAAAAAATAATAAAAACAAATGACCAATCTAAAATTATCCTAGTTCTAAAAAATTCTTTTAACGATTTTTTAATTTTCTAATGTAGATGGTGCATCTTCGTGGTTGCAAAATAACTACAGTTATTGCATAATTAATTATAACAATTCCCAACTTCCAGTGAATCAATTTTTCTATAAGTTGAGTTTTTTGATGTTTAGACATTCTTCCTGATGAACCAACTGATAGAGAAACAAGCTGTCGAAGAAAATTAGATAAGTGTTTTTACTAATTTATTATTGCTCTATTCATTAAGAAGATTGAGCATTCTATTTGTAGAATACACTAACATAATTTATATACACACACACACACACATATATATATATATATATATACACACACGCATGTATATATATATATATATATATACACACACGCATGTATATATATAAATATATATATATATATATATATATATATATATATATATATATATATATATATATATATATATATAAATATATATATGTATATATATATATAAATATATATATATATATATATATGTATATATATATATATATGTATATATATATATATATATATATATATATATATATATATATATATATATATATATATATGTATATATATATGTATATATATATATATATATATATATATATATATATATATATATATATATATATATATATATATATATATATATATATATATATATATATATATATATATATATATATATATATATATATCCTTATATCATAGTCGAAAGAGACTTTTAATGTAAAAAAAAAGTCTCTTTCGACTACAATTTTGCACCCTTAACAATTAAGCTACATTTTATTGTCATTGAAATGTCAAAGCAATTAAATTAATGCATAAGTACATTGTTTTTTAAAAAAAAATGCAATAACAATGACTAGAAATTTTTTTTTAATTAATGGTGTTTTTGTTGTTGTTTTGTTAAAATATATTTTTAAAAGATGCGCAGAGTGTTGCTACATTGACTATCTTAGAACCTAATTTGCAAAGGAGTGTTGCTACATTGACTATCTTATAGCCTGACTCGCAATGGAGTGCTGCTACATTGACTGACAAATAGCCTGACTCGCAAGGGAGTGCTGTTACATCGACTGAGGGTTTGGTTAGGGCAGGCAGTCTATCAATTATTAAAAAAAAAATTATTCAAGTTTTTAAACTATTTATGGTTTATTAGCGCTCTTTTTAAAACGTCAGTTTATGGGAAAAACTATTCGACTACCATTCAAGACTATATATGTGTATATTATATATATATATATATATATATATATATATATATATATATATATATATATATATATATATATACATATATATATATAAAATAAAAAATCAGTTATTGAGTTATAATTATGTTGTTTAATAAGTATTATTTTATTAAAAAACAATATTTTCAAGTGACCATTACTTTACCATGTTTGCTACTTGCAGTACACTGCAAATTGTGATTTTATTGTTAAAAAAAATGTACACAGTAAATTCAAAGTAATTGCATTTATTTACATTACACAGTTTACAGTGCACTGCAAACTGTGATTTTATTATTAAAAAAAAAATGATTTTGCTAAATTTTGTTTTCTTAGACTTTTTGTTTTCTTTATATTTCCAGTATATAAATTCAGTAGGTTATATTGGGTTTATACGGCAATAATAAAAATTCGCTTTTGTAATAAAAAAACCAGTGTAAAACCAGTTACCCGGTTTTACAATTTAAAAAAATTAAAAATATGTTGTTTTTTTTTTAAACTTTCTGGTTTTGCTAATCTGTAGCATTACCGTATACTGCGATATTTGGTCACTGTTTTCAAAATAATGTTTACATTAGTGTTGTTTTTAATAATAAAACTGTGATTTTATTATTAAAAAAAAAAATGATTTTGCTAAATTTTGTTTTCTTAGACTTTTTGTTTTCTTTATATTTCCAGTATATAAATTCAGTAGGTTATATTGGGTTTATACGGCAATAATAAAAATTCGCTTTTGTAATAAAAAAACCAGTGTAAAACCAGTTACCCGGTTTTACAATTTAAAAAAATTAAAAATATGTTTTTTTTTTTTAAACTTTCTGGTTTTGCTAATCTGTAGCATTACCGTATACTGCGATATTTGGTCACTGTTTTCAAAATAATGTTTACATTAGTGTTCTACTATGTAGTTCCAACAATTATTATAATTTTTTTATTGGTAGGGGAGAGTGGGGCACCATGATACATGGGGCACCATGAAGCAATCTAATTGTGGAGGCATCTTAAGAGTTGTGACAACCACTTTCATATGGTGAAACAGTTACTACTAGTTGCGATGTTTTGACAAAAAAAAATATTTTATTTGACGTCTTTAGGCCTGGGGTCAAAATTTATGTTTCTTGACAACAAACTAATTTATTAGTTTTTAAAACTCAAAGTTTTAATCTTATTCAAAGTGTCTATTGGTAAGTAACATTTTGTAAAGTTCAGCCTATAGGCTCTTTACTTTATTAAACAAAATTATTGTAAAAACAAGTTGATACAAAAAATAAAACAATTTTCTTCTACTAGCAAGTATAAGATAATTTGATACAGCATTTGTGAGGTGCCCTAAAACTGTAAAATAAACTCTAATAATTATAATATTCTAAAAATCATTTTTTTTATTATTTACAGTCAGTTCTTAAAAGATTTGTGTAAATATAATACAAGGAGTTTCAATTTCTATACAAAGCCATTATTTATTGTCGCTTAAGAATGACATTTAAAAAGATATATTGTAACGGGTGATAACTAAGTTTTGGCACAAATACAAAAGTGCATATAATTTTATTACTACATACTCTATAAACATTGCAAATTACTTAAAATGAAGAAAATTTGGAAGCTCTCAACCATATGTTGACAAGTTGTTAAAAATGCATACTAACATCAAGTATAGAAAAAAAATTAAAAAACCACTTCGAACTGAACATCAAAAAAAGCTAGCTAGACCAAAATGCAGACAACTTTTACAGCATTAGTACTGTGATTTTTTAATCAATGATGAATCGTACTTTACTTTGAGCCACGCTGATCAGCCAGGCAATGATGTTTTCTACACCGATGACTTTAATAAGACATGGGATAATGTTAAATACAGTTTCAAAAAAAAAAAATCCCCAAAAGTTGCTTGTATGGCTTGCTATATCACCTATAGGATTGACAAAACCTTTTTTTCAAAAATCTGGAAATGCGATCAACCAAGACGTTTATTGTGAAATTTTAAATAACAAACTCCTTCCGTTTATTAAAAAAAATTATAGTGCTGGTGGATATGTGTTTTGGCCTGACTTAGAATTCACTCATTATGTTTTTAAGGTAACTAAATTTTTGGAAGATCAGAATATACCTTTTGTCCCAAAATTCATGAATCCAGCAAATTTGACGGAAGCTCGACCAATAGAAGTTTTTTGGGGAAACTTGAAAATGGTTTACAAGAACAACTGGACAGCAAAAAATCTTGTTGAGTTAGAAAAAAAGATAGTTAGATGCCTTGGCAATATGGACTTGAAGTTTGTACAAAACCATGCTTTATCAGTCAAGAAAATGCTTGATAAAATAAGGAGATCTGGACTCTAATTATTTTTTCATTATTATTTTTTATAATAGACTTAATTGACAATATTATAATGTATTTAATAGATCTAAAATAAAGTTTCTAACATTATTAAATTTCAGTTTAAGTTTGTGCCAAAACTTAGTTATCACCCATTATCTGGATTTCTGAAACATGATTTGGACCATTGGATGCATTATTTGGACTATCATTATTACTTTGATTGTCTTTTAAGTAAGAATCTTTTATCTATGTTTTATACTTTTTATTTACTTTTTTAATGATGCTCATAATTTATATCAAGGTACCAATGGGGTACCTTGGTCCAAATCATGTTTCAGAAATCCAGATAATGGGTGATAACTAAGTTCTAACAAATTTCCAATTTTACTTTAAATAGTCTCACAAGTTTTGACCTGTTATATAATGGTAATTAATAATATTTTATAATATTGGTAATAATAAAATTTAATTTTGTAGGTATAAATTTATTCTACAAATTAAACCATTATTATAATTTCAAAGCAAAAACGAAAAGTGTATTATGGTGCCGCATTCTCCCCTACATGTAATGTTTTTATTTTATAGACCAAAAGATTGATTTTCTATGAAAACATGGTTTGAATTGGCTTATGCATAGCATGAATATATTAACATTTCATAAGGTATAAACTATTGCCATAATAAAAAAAATGCCAAAAAAATGTGCAAATGATCAAAGGACTACCAGTTTGTAAAAAAAAAAAAAATGGGTTTATGTTAAAAAACTTTTTCTTTACTCTTGAAACTTTAAATATATTTACTTTCAAAATTAAGTGAAAAAACAACTACTTGAACCATATTTTTTACATAGTATTACAATGCTTATTATTATAGTTCTGCTGTTTACAAAATTAAACTTAAATACAAAATTAATTTTATATTGGATAACTATCCACTTAACTTACTTACAAACATTATCAATTAAAAACTATTAAAATCAAGAAAGTATTCACCTAAATTACAAGAAAATAATTCTTGAACTATTTTTTTATTACAAGGAAAAAATTACTAAAGAACTAATGAAACTGCTCACAAATAAAAAAAAAGAACTAATGAAACTGCTCACACTTAATGACAAGATAAGATCTTATTTGATGACACAGTCTGAAAAACTATTCTCCTCTTCATAACATTATTACTTGTCTTCCCTTCATAACATCTTTCTTCCCTTCATAATCTTTTTTTTTTTTTCTATATCTTCTTTGATAGATTTTCTCTTTTTGTGCCTCTGCAATTAATTTTATCAATTTTTTTACAAATTTTCTTTCAAATCAATTCTAATCTGTAAAGATTAATTTTCCTCACACTGGCACTCCAAACTTTTTAACAGACAAATAATTTACCTCAATTCAAATCAAAAGTCAAATATTTTAGTCAATACAAAAAATATTTGGTTTTCTCACAGTTTTTTTGTTTCAAGAGAAATAAGTATTTTTTTTATTTTATATATATATATATATATATATATATATATATATATATATATATATATATATATATATATATATATATATATATATATATATATATATATATATATATATATATATAATATTATAATATAAATATACTATATTTACCTTGGGTGAAAGCATGGAGAAGTATGATACCCCTGATTCTCTTTCGTACAAGTGATATGTTGTGCCAGGTTTTTTTATAAAATTACACTTAGCTGTGTGCAGTAATGATGAATCTTTTGCTTCCTCTAATACTCTTCTTGCCTAATAGTTAAAAATATTTTTTTACAAATTTTACTTATGTAAACCTGTTGCCTGAAACTTAAAATAATACTTTTAACAACAGCTTTTTCAAGAAGTTTTTTTTCCTAAAAGAAAAAACAATTTTATAATAACTTTTAATACTTAAATTAAAATTAAATTTTGAAAACTTGTTTATCTGAACAGTAGCCATTTTATTTTATTTCAAAAAATGTTTTCTTTAAAAAAAATTTAACTTATAAATATCGAAAATGAAATTACTTGTTCTTGCAGAAACCGAATTTGCTCAGCTATGATTTGAAGTTTATTTGATGCTATGTGCCTAACTCCCTCATCTGCACGCTGAACCTCCGTTGCTAGAGCTATTAAATCATCTGGTCTTGCTTTATTAACAGCACGACTGTTTACCAACAAACTAGTGACACAAGACTCATCTTCTACAACTCTTGCAAGCGCTAAATAGAAAAAATATTGAGTATTATAAAAGTTTGAAGGTTTAGATTCTTAGTAGTGCAAACTTGTTGAATCAAGCTATATTAAAACTACATATTTTAATTTATATATATATATATATATATATATATATATATATATATATATATATATATATATATATATATATATATATATATATATATATATATATATATATATATATATATATATATATATATATATATATATTATTTATTCATTCTCATATGCGTGTTTATTCATTCTTATATGCGAGTCAACCAACCATAAAATCTCTAATATAATTTAATATAAACAATAAATAGGCTTTTAAATTTTTATATAGATATATTAATAATAATTGTTAATAATTAAATTTAAATCTGGATAAATGAACAATTAGGTAAATAATAATTTAATTAATCAAGAAAATCAATAATAAAATTAAACAAAGACCTAATATTAAATTAAACAAAAGACCTAATGATTAAATTAAACCATCATGGAATGTAAAAAGTCTTCGTCTTAATTTTTTTTAACCTCATTTACCAGGAAATAAGAAAAATTTTTTTAGAAAAAATAAATTGTTTTTTCACAACAAAATGCTTAAATGATTTTTTTGTGTTGAAATTGCTTTTTCAAAACGCATATAATAATGAATATATGCGCATATATGAATGAATAAACACACATATAAGAATGAATAAATGCACATATAAGAATGAATAAACACGCATGTAAAAATGAATAAATGCGCATACAAGAATGAATAACCTTGTAAGAAAAACCAGCCCAAAATGACAACAGCGACTCAATCAAGAATTCAAGAATTCAATCAATCAAGAATCGTTTTGGGATTGATAGAGGAAGAGTAATGTCACTTGTTTTTTCTTCCATTTAATGAATCATAAGATCAATTTTGTTATTACTATTAAAAATCAGCAATAGAATGGAAAGATTAAAATTTGTATTGGTTCTCAGAGAGTAAGTTAGTGGCATCAAGATGAAATATTTTAAGTTATTTAAAAACTATTCAAAGTCTTGCTACAAAGAAGACTTAAAAGTTTTGCTACTAAGAAGTCTTGCATCTATGAAGTCTTGCTACTAAGAAGTTTTGACAATAGTTAGAGGGGTCAGATAAATCTCTAGATTTGAATAAATAAAAAAAAATAACAAATAACAGATGCCATTGCCAGCAGACAGAAAAACAAGATTCAGTTAATTACTTAGTGAAATGGGTTAGAGAATATTAAACACAGCTTTCGAGGAAACAGAAAAACGTTTTTAGGATGTGGCAGGAATGTTGTTTAGATCACAAACTGAAGATAAATTTTTAGCATTCCAAATAAAAATCCATAAAATAAGTATACATATATGAATTTAAATCAAGTCAGAATCATTATTACTCTACCAATCATAACATGTAATCAAATAATTCTTGTACTGGGTTAGATTTAAAAGTTATTTTTTAAAACAGACTAGAAGTTAACTGACTTAAAACCATTGCCTCAGGCTTAGGCTTGGTTGAATAAGGAACTAGGCTTTAGAACTAGGCTTGGTTGAATAAGGAACTAGGCTTTAGAACTAGGCTTGGTTGAATAAGGAACTAGGCTTTAGAACTAGGCTTGGTTGAATAAGGAACTAGGCTTTAGAACTAGGCTTGGTTGAATAAAGAACTAGGCTTTAGAACTAGGCTTGGTTGAATAAGGAACTAGGCTTTAGAACTAGGCTTGGTTGAATAAGGAACTAGGCTTTAGAACTAGGCTTGGTTGAATAAGGAACTAGGCTTTAGAACTAGGCTTGGTTGAATAAGGAACTAGGCTTTAGAACTAGGCTTGGTTGAATAAGGAACTAGGCTTTAGAACTAGGCTTGGTTGAATAAAGAACTAGGCTTTAGAACTAGGCTTGGTTGAATAAGGAACTAGGCTTTAGAACTAGGCTTGGTTGAATAAGGAACTAGGCTTTAGAACTAGGCTTGGTTGAATAAGGAACTAGGCTTTAGAACTAGGCTTGGTTGAATAAGGAACAAAGCTTTAGAACTAGGCTTGGTTGAATAAAGACTCAATAAAAAAAACTAGAGGTAGTGTCTCAATAAAAAAAAAACATTTCTAATTCTTCTTTATATTACTAAGTAACTCTTAATTCTTATAGTGATTGACTTCAGCCTTCTCATATGTGAGTTTGTTAAGAATATAAACTAAATTTATTTGGCATAAATGCATTAAAATGTTTTTTTACAAAAGATGTTTTTTATTGCTTCCTGTCTGAGATAGACACTAGACCTTTATGAATTTGCTCATAAATTTTTGCTTTTACCTCTTCCATAATGAGTGTACAACTTATTTTGCTATCTTCTAATGAAAAACAATTTAATGGAACTTAACTTATGGTTCTAAAGCCAGCTGGTAGCAAGGTTTCAAACTCTGTGAAAGCTTTCAGAGAAACTAACTCCATAAAAAACTGTAAAATTGTAGAGTATTAACAAAGCTTGTTTTGTACAGATGGTGTCTCTTTTAATGCTTTAGGTGTACATTGCCACACAATAGAATCATTCTTTCTAATAATTACAATCAAAAGTATAGCACATAAAATACATATAATATACAAAAACATAAAAAATCATTTCTATTTATCTTTTACAAATATTTATGGTCTTCAAAGGAATTTTTTTATCCGGAGAATCTTACATCTTGTGAAATTAACCAGACATACTTGTTGTTTGTGAGACTAATTTAAATTGGCATAAACTGAAACCATCAGTTTATGCATGTACTGAAGCCCTACTGGCTTTAATTACATAATTACAATGATGTGATTAAGGAATATATGTTATGGAGCATAAAAAAAAAAACATCAAAAAAAAAAAAATAGTGTTAAAATTCCAATATAAAATAGAATAATGTAAGTTTCTTTTTTTAGATTTTTGAAGATATTTTTGTAGCACAATTTATGATTAAAAAAGGAATATATTTAAAGAAGAGATTTTTGTTAAAATTTATTTTGTAGTAACTTTATATTGTCTGAATAAATTTTTAAACTGTATAAGTATTTTTTTTGCTAAACACTTAAATTTATAAGCATAAAAGTAATTATTGTTATATTAAAACTAAAGAAGTTTGCACAAAATAAGTAAATACAAAATAAATATATTTCTTATATTTCAAAGCTATGTTTTTAAAGAATATGGGCAATTCTATGGTGTCGGATGTGACATGCAAACATGTTTTAAAGTGTTATTTGTTATGAAATCAAGAAGTTTTTGCTAATATACTTTCATTGTTAATACAATATTGGTGTGTGCTTTTTATCATGTCATCATGATTTTTTTATTGACAATACTGGCTGTGCTGTAACTAAAATCACATGGTGTTTAACGTGACAGCGTAAAATTTGTGAATTGCACCCTTTATTACTCTAAATGCAAGTTCTGTGAAAGTAAGGACAATACTGCTTGAATATTTATTCAATTATTCAAATGCAAGTTCTGTGAAAGTAAGGACAATACTGCTTGAATATTTATTCAAAACTCTTACTGAGATACATAAAACAGGTAATATGTGTTTGTTTGAACAATTCATAACTACTGCATTCAATACAGCTAACTAAATTAATAGTCAGATGTGACATAAAAGTGTTCAACACAACAGTCTGCCATTACAAGTGCAAACGTGCAGCAAAAAAACATCACTATGAACAAAATTATGAAATAAAAACCAAAAACTCTCAATTTTGATAATGGTCAGTACAGTTTAAGGTGCATCTAGGTCGTGATCAACCTTATAATGACCTTGATTATCAATCGACAATTAAGGATTAACAAGATCCTCATGCAGTGCCGGATCAAGGGGGAGCTAGGCCTGGGCCCCGCAAATTTAGGGGCTCTTCAAAATTTTATAGGACCTTTTTTTTTTTAGTCATTTTTAGGCTCTGACCCATAAAAAGGCCCAAAAAACAAAAATAGCCCCGGGCCCTAAGAAGTCTTAATCCGCCACTGCCCTTACGGTATCAGTTTTAGGCAACCAACTTTTGTCTGCTTTAGTTGGTTTTACAAATATGTCTAACTTCTTTCTGAGGAACAAAACCTCAACATCATCTTTATCACATGTTTTTATGACCCCAATATAGTTAACCTGTTTTTGTTTTGTAGCAGTTTTTATGACCCCAACATAGTTGACCTGTTCTTGTTTTGTTTTTGTATTGAGCTGAAACATCAACACTGGCACTAGTTCAGTATCATATGGCAGCATAGGACAGAGCTATGAATGCTTAATATAGTTACCAAAACAAAATTTGCTACATAGATGACACTTCTTTTTCAACAAACTTTGGCAACTTACCACAAAGATATAATAAATTTAATGTCAGAACTGAAAACAACAGTCATTTATCTTTCATTTGATACCAAATTTATAGGAGTTTGTTTAAAGTTAACTTTACTCATCATGGTTGACATTTTGATGGAATTGCCCATATCCTTTTTGTTTATCCCTTGATTTCTCTTTATTTTTTTGCCTGATTTTATTTCTCTTTTTTTAGCCTAAAATAATAGCTTATGCTTTTTTAATGCTTTTGAAGCAGACTCTCAATTTAGGAATCTGTAATAAATTTTTAATCAAATTGAAATTCTCAACTTAAAATAAGTTTCATATATATTTTTAGCATACATAGAAATTAGTTTTTGAAGATTACTTGCTTCAAAATTAATCTTTTAATATGTTTTTTTTTTAAATGCATTGTCTCCTAGCTCATTATTATTTACTCTAATTTAAGTAAGATCTTTCAATTTTGTTAGAGCTAGCTAAAACCAAAATTCAAACAAACTCACTGCTGTTCCATTTTGTATTAATGATAATTGTCTGTGAGTAAACCACTTTGTGTGTGAGTAAAAATTCTTATGTGTGTGCATGTTTAAACTTCACTCTGTCAAACTTATTCATTCAAGTCAGGATTACGACTTTATTTATAATTTAGTTTCTCTAATGACAGAATCCAGATTGGTAAAGTTCAAAAGTTTTTAAAAGAATAAATGTTGAACTTAAGACTTTAAATTTAATGAATATTAGTAATATATTTTATACATTGCATTTATTTGGTTAATTATATTTTATTACACAAAACCTTAGATAAACTTGAAACAATATTTTGTTTTTATATAATTTTTATACAAAATGCATAGACAATATTGCCAACATATACTTTCATTAAATAATCAATTTCAAAGAAAATTTGGCAAGTATTGCCAAAATAAAAAGTTTTAATTCAAACTTAAACTCGACTTGGCTTAAATATAGTCAACAAGCCAAAAAAACAGCCATACTTTGCCAAAATTTAAAACTGTTTTTTTTTTTTTTTAATTGTAAAATAACATAAATAAATAAATTTATTTAGTTTTTTTTTTAATTTTAATTCACTAAAAAAATATCTTCAAAAAACTGAACAATGAAGCCGAACTTTATTAACGGTTTTACTAAAATAGTAGTCCAGTTTTATCTAACAAAACAAAATGAAACTGGTATTAATATCAAAATCATATTCAAATAAGGAATATATTCAAATAAGTTACTTCAGCTAACCTTTGGCTTCATTCATCGATAGATTATTCATTGAAAGCTTGAAAATAGTTGAATTTTCAAAATATTATAAAGACTCAGGTAGAAATCCAACTCTCGATTATTTTACATTGCATAATATATCGGAACAAACATTTATATCACATTAACTAATAATGTAAAATCTCTATTCAGAATTACTTTCAAAAAAGCAACAACACAAAAAACTAATGATATTATTAATACTACTAGTAAATATTACATAGTGATATTATTAATATCAATACTATATTATTTAATATTATTAAATGATTGTTCTGTGCAAATATCCTACTATAAGGCAGCCGATGAATATTCTAATTTACGGCAGTTATTGTCTGAAGATCATACTCAATAAAATAAATTTAGAAGCCTCAAATTTAGTAGCAAAAAAAAAGACAGTCTGCTTGAACAGATTCTAATCTTATTTCAAATCGATTCTCGTCGACAGCATTTTATTTTATTATGTTATTTATCTAGATATTTTAGGTGTTCGAAGAAGTTTTAACAGTCTTATCACAGAGCGGAATAGCATTTAACCAGGAAGTTTACGCCCACTTATTTCAAAATAATAACACTGATCTCAAAATAATATTATTTTGAGATCAGTTTACGCCTCCTTCTTACGAGGCTGAATAAGTGCAAATTTCATAAGTGCAAACTGGCATAAATGCAAATGCAGTGCGCCAAAAGAATTTGCAAAACTTGGCATAAGTGCGAAATAGCAAAGCATTCTGTTGACATTAGTGCGAGCCGGCCTTTGGCGCTTATACTAATTCGCACTTATGTCAGTCCACACACACCCCAAAGTTTACAGATTCTTTTGGCGCACTTATACCAATTTGCATTTATGGCGATTTGCACGTATTTTATGGACGAATCCTAATAAAACAAACAATTATTGTTTGTTTTATAAGAATTGGTCCATAAAATACGTATGCTTTTATTTCAACCCTTCTAACCCTCCTTCCCACTAATCCGCATTTTGCTATACGTTTATTTGAGTATCCTCCACCACCTCGAAAGTTACCTACGCTTTAAAACTAACTACCCAACATTTTATAATATTTTTTTAAACTAGTTTTTCCTTACTATTATAATTATAGAATGATAAAAGTTTTTGTTTATTTACCAATTAATGATTTAATCAAATAGTTCAGTGTCGTTAAACCAAAAAACGCTAAAACTCGCTTATCAATAATTCTAAACCAAAAATTAGAGATAAGCTGATGCAAGCACCCGCTCGGTATAGTTAATATTTTGGGTACGCCCTTGGTTGATTGGTAAAGTTAAATGGTAGCACAAATTAGAGTTTTTTATTCTCTATTTTTATAGGTAATAAGGTATTCTAAAAAAACCTAACGGTCTTATCTCAGAGCATCACGAAAAGATTATTTAACCAGGAAGCTTAAGATGTTTTTAGTTTCGGCTAAGCTTACTGAATGTTTGTTTGTATTCAACCAATCAGTTACTTAAAAAATTAATTTATAATTTACTTGTTCATCTGTGATCATAAAAGTACCTAACTTATATTTATTTTTATTAAAAGCATGAAAAATCTAGTGAACAAACTATTGGATCAACCTGTCTGTAATTAAGAAGGTTATTCGTTTCTAATATTATAGCATTTAGCTGTAAAACAAAGTACTATCTGAAAAAATTTACAAAACTAAATAACTTACAATATTTGAAAATATAATTAAAATTTTAACCACTCTCAATTTTAGTTAACCGGAAAAAAAAATATTAACGCATAAGATTACCTTTAAATCAAAATTAATAAAAACTTTAAAAGCTTCAAATATTATTCAAATATATATAAATATAAAATAAATAAAATATTATTCATGAAAGAAATAAAAAAAAAAAAAAATGAATAAAAAATACTATTAATAAATATTATTTTTATTATAATATTATTTACTTTTTACAGAATTTTATCGACATATATCGACAGTTTTTAATCATTAAAAAATAAAATAAAAATTATTTTTTTAATTTTACAATTATGAGTTTTTATATTTTAAATACAATTTTGGTTAAAAAGAAATTTTTAATTTTTACATTTTTAATACACAAATAAAAAATAAAAACATCATTTTATATTTTGTGATTCGTTTTAAATATTAAGCAAAATATTGCAAAAGGTAAAGAAATTGCTTAAACAAATGTTGTAAAAGCATGTTTGAAACATTTTGATTTAATATCAGTTTACTTTATCGATATTTTATAAAAGTTAAACGATTTTGAATTTGTTATAATCAATATTGTTTTGAACTTAATATAATCATTATTACATTTATAAATCAATCTTGTGTTTTAAAATTGAAAATGAAGAATTTTTTTTAAAACATAACACTTAGTTTAATTATTTCCTTCAATAACATGTTAGTATTGTTTGTACTTATCGCTTACAAGAAGGCGCCTGCAAAAAATTGAATTTTGTTGAAGTGTTTTTTATGTAATTTTCGAGTTAATTTAGTCTAGTGTTTTACAAAAAACCACTTAGCAAAATCACAAGATATTTGACACTGGTTCTTTGAATTATTTAGTCAACATTTAATGCAAACATTATTAAAAAAACAATGAAACTAAATTCAAAAAATAGGATATGATATAATTAATGCAAATATTTGCATTTAACTGTAAACAAGTAAAATAAAGTTTTAGATTGGAGTGTCCACTGTTTTCCTTTGAGCAAAATATAACCAAAGGCTAATTTTCATAATGATAAATCAGGATAAACTAGTCAAAATAAAGAGGAAGATATTTTGAAGTGTTAAATAATTAAAGAGACTTTATATTATGAAGTTTAAAGTAATAAAGACATTATGAAGTTTAAAGAAGTATACTGTAAGTAGTATTTTAAAATTTCGGTTCTAAATAGCTACACAAAAAAATACCAAAAAGCAAATTTTCTCTGCAACTGGTTTTTGCATAAAATATTTCTCCTCGGTGGAATCATTTACAAGATTTCCTAATGATTTCATTAACAAAATCATGCAAAATTAGTTGTACGGATTGTTTATTTTTTATGTTAACTAATTATCAAACAATCAAAACACTTTTTCACGGATCCGTTTTTATTACCAAGAACTACCGATTAGTGAAATGCAAAGATTTTTTTTTTCTTTTTGCTACTTCATAGGACTTCAATTTACGCAATAATTTCTAACTCATTTTAGGGTGCTGAAATCAGACGATATTTTTGCTGTTTTATTTTAATTTAAATGTAACTCAATTTTTTTATTTTAATTACAACAAAAACATATTTGCACAATAAAATAATTTTTACTTCATCTAGCTTTCAGAATATTAATTATTCAACTAACTTTTATAAATGGGAATGAACAACTAACAGTGGTAAAGAGGATTGTAAGTAAACTCGACGCTAACAACTACCTAGTTGTTAGCGTCTCGTTACATTTTTATATCGTTAGTGCAATCGCTCCATAAAGTGGTTGAGTATAAATTATCTGAAGACTAATCATTTTTAAAAGCAAAATAAAGTTAATAACGAATTTGCCGAAAAAAAAAAAAATAAAAGCGGATACTTTTGGTCACAAGAGAACTTTATCTCGCCAAAGCTTGAGCAAAAACTACATTTTAAACTCGTTAACTGGTTGAAGTTTGAACAATAAAAATTTCTATTAGGTATTTTAATCATCGTCATCATGGCTATTACTTTTTATTTAAAAGAAAAAATAATTCTTTCAATTAATAACAGTTTACTTCTCTCTCTTTATTAACAAACTGGTAACTTTTTTTATAAAGTTTATACATGCTGATATATAATTCCAAGGATGTCTGCCCACAAATTTTGTTGGTTTACATATGACGAATAAAAAGTGAAAAGTAGTGAAGTCCATTCTTTGGTTTTGCTTAAATATTTCTGTGATTTTCCATTCAACATATAACAAGTTTGGTATCATTTTAAAGAGGACTTTTGTGGGCATCTAAATAATTAAGAATTTTTTTGATCAGCACAACTGGAAGTGCCAGAGAACCTGCTGAATGTGCGCAGTAAGTCACTTTTTGAGCTAGTTTTTACAACAACTTTTGGTTGAAGAAAAAAATTTAAATACTTATCAAAAAATTCTTCAAAATCATCAGTTATTATTTCCCGAAAAAATTTTATATTATACAATATTTTTTCTGTAAAAAAAGTCATTTTTGAAAAATTCTATTTTTAATTTTTCACAATTAATGCCATGATATTATTGCATAAAATGATAGATTAGAATATTTTTTATACATTTTTATGACTTTTATGTAAATTTGTCTTTTTTTTTTTTTTTTTTAAAGTTTTTTTATCACCCACATACGCATGGATATGCGTATGTGGGTGATAAGAAACGCAAAACCTTTGATATTTTTGTTAAGGAAAAATATTTTTTCAAAATTTTTTCGGGAAATAATAACTGATGATCTAAGGAATATTTTATGTATTTAAACTATTTCTCTATCTCAGTTCCTTTTTATCAAAAAATTGAGGTCAAGTTTCAAAAATGCATTTAACGGTCAAAAAAAATGTAAACTTTCCGCCATTTTGATTTTTTTTTTTTTTCATGGAAAACATGTGCGTACAAATTATCTATTTTTTACAGAAAGAATTTTGAAAATCGACAAAACCAATCAAAAGTTATTGCATTTTTTTTCTTTTTAATCAAAAAAAAACAGTGACAACAGGAATTGCTCGTAGCAGCTAAAGGAGTAACCGAATCAAAAAATCCTCGAGATATCTTTTAGATAAAGGGTTGGAGAATTTTTTGATAAGTATTTAAATTTTTTTTTTCAACCGGAAGTTGGTGTAATAAGCTGTTCAAAAAGCGACTCACTGCGCACATTCAGCAGGCTTTCTGGCACTTCCAGTTGCGCTGATCAAAAAAATTCTTAAATATTTAGATGCCTACAAACGTTTTTTTTAAAATGATACCAAACTTGTTATATGTTGAATGGAAAATCACAGAAATATTTAAGCAAAACTAAAGAATGGACTTACCTTACCTTTCACTTTTTTCACTTTCAACTTTAAAAAAAAAAAAAAGAAAAAGGTAAACTTTAAGAAGTAATATCAGAAAAAAAAAGTTAATAACAAAATCTTTTATGATTGTTATGAAAACAAATTTAATCAAGAATTCAATAAGCAAAAAAAGAAAAAATAACAATAAATTAACTTCAATTGCTACAAACTTGACATTCAAACTATGTATTTTTTCCATGTTAAATAAGTATCTGATTAACATTTTTAAATATTAAACGTTTTTCCAAATAATTAAATTTTTCGACTTTTTACTATCTAGTTAGATCACTTTTAACTTTAATGACATCTTGTTAATTTTGAATTGATTCACCTAATTTTTAATAAGATTAAGATCTTGGCTTGATGACCCAGCCGTTCAAGTAACTCAATTTGCATTTTGAAAATAAAATTTGATTTTGTTGTCTTGTTAGAAGAAGAAATAATATGGCAATCGCAAATTTTTAGTTAGGACCAAAAATTTTTATTAAGAATATTGATATAAACCTCAGAGTTCATAATTCCATCAATAAATCCCAGCCTTCCTGTTCCGTAACGTTGCATCTACCAAATTTTCTTAATCATTTTATACAACTAAACTCAGTTGCATAGGGTAAACAATAAAGTTTTGTTGAGACAATATTATGGAACAGGAAAGCTGAAGTTTATTGATAGCATTCAAACTCGAATGCTTCACCTTTATTTCTTTTTACTTTTTGAGTTTCATCTGACTTCACAAAACTAACTTTCTGCTCGTCAGTCCACAAAACCTTCTTCCAGAATGATACCAGCATATTTGCATTTTTTTTTATCAAATGCAAGTCTTCGGTCTTGATTGGTTTTTAAAAGGAATGATTTCTTGCGTGGCACTCTTGCTTTAAATCCACTCTCTTTCGATCAATTTCAAAAAGTACATGCACTCACTTGTATCTAGAATTTTTTTCAAGAAGGTTTGATGCTATTGGTGCTGATAAATTTTTTTTTTTTTTTCCCCATCTTGATAGTTTGTCGATCAAGCCTGGATGGCGTTTTACGCTAAGCTCCCGCTCTTTACTGATTTTTTACATGTTCAAAAGTTTTGTACTTTTTAATCAACCTAAATGTTTTACCTTGCTTGAATAAGTCAATAGCCAAGTTGGGCTATGCTTGTGACCATTCCTTGATATTAACTTCTATACTTGACAATATCGATGGTAAATCAAATAAATTTGAAAAATTTCAGTCAAATATTAACGGTTACTTGATAATAAACAGCAATGTTTCTAAAACTATTAATTAAAAACCTTTTGTCGATTAAAAACTATCGATTAAAAACCTTTTATAGAAAACTATCGATTAAAAACCTTTTTATAATAATTACTTTCAAATTTTTGTTTCAAAAACAAAATATTTTGATATTTTCTGTTCAAAGTTTAACACTCTTAAATGAGTGTCTGGGATAATGCAGATTTTTTTATGGGAATGTGACCCCTCTAGCCAGTAGAGGGAGAAACAAAGAGGTGGAGGGAGGGGAATGAGGGGTGGAGAGAGAGTTAATTAAATCACTTCCAAATATCGGGGAAAAAAAGTCTCTGTATTATTAATTACTTATTTTAGTTACCCATCTAGAAAAAACCTATTAAAAATGATGCCTTAGTTTTTCTGTTCATAAATAAGACAAATAAAACTCGTTTAGCTCACTTAACAAAGTGCACCAACCAGAAGTGAAGTCATAGAACTTAGCACTCCGTTTTATATTTGCCATGTTGCCTAAGGCTAGCCCTGGATTCTTCCTTTGCTTAGTACAGTTTATGTACAGTATTTTTAATCATGTCAAACGTTTATCCTCATTTCTAAACTTTGTTGGTTCTCTTTATGGGCAATTATGGTCATTATTTTGAGCTTTTTATACACCATTTATAGCCAAGTTTTGAACATATATTAAATCACAATATGAAACAAAAATTATAAAATAATCAAGTCAATAATCAAAAAAGTAATTGATATCAGATTAAAATATTTTCTAAGCACCATTCTCTTGAAATGGAAAAAATATTCAAAATTTTTACAATACGTAATGTTTTCTTGATAGATAGACAATAAAGCTGAAAAATTAAATTTTTACTCTGTCATGCAAGTATCTGTAACAACGGATGGGACAACAGATTGAGTATTCCAAATGGTTACAACAAATGACGATGATAATTAGATCTAAAATTTGTGTTTTTAAACATTCAATTTATTACACTGTTTTGATATAACAATATTACAACAGTGCACAGTGGGCCAGTAGGTGGACAAAATGAGAAAAAATTTAGTTGTCTAATCTTAAAAACTTATTTAATTTTAGTATCTACATATATTAGGAGAAATTTATTGATAATTTGAAATAAATATGTCATAGCATGTTATCTCAGTTATACTTTGAAAACCACAGATTGAAAAAAAAAATTTCATGAAATTTATTTTTTGCCCCACTATAACTAATAATTTCCATATTTTGCCATGTGCTGTCATATATTTATTTAAGCTATATGATGCTTCAATCAAGTTTTAATTGATTGCTCGTCCCCTTAAATCCCCGTTCAGATTTTATATATGTTTTAACTTGGTTGTTATGGTACTGAATTTTGCATAGCAACAGCTCATTTTTAGATTAACATCGTTTTAACAGTATTTTATCTGCGCAAAGTACACAATATTGGGAGTATGTATTAAAATGAGATTCGCAATTCTTATGAGGTTATTTTTTTTTGGTTGCTATGGCTACCTTACTTTGTATAGCATATAAACAACATATTTTCGGTAGTTGTCAGTAATTTAATATTTAACACTAACAGTTTAATTACTTTTA